GCGCCCCTACCACTGAGCCACAACCTCCCAACCAACTTAGTTCCCACTTGACAGTTAAAGGTGGGGTAGGTCATTTTGGAGAAACCAGCTCGAGATCGCTCCTCCAACACACGAACGCGCACATGACCAATGAGGGCACGAGATAAGTTTGTGCCCCGATGGAAGGCTGACAGGCAGGTAGGCCATCCAGTTATTTTAGCCGGGCCGGCTCAGATGATTGGTCGTGCTTTTTACAGTACTACGGCTTCCACAGATGACTTTTTGTTATGGATTTTTTGTCAAAGCACTTCAGATATTCATTGCTATCGGGATGTTAAGAGCATTCCATGGAATATAACAACAAGTGTATCTCGAGCCGGTTTCTCAAACTTACCTACCCCACCTTTAACGGAAAGAAACAAAACATCACATGTACAAGGAAAAGTGCAACATCTGAGTCCTACTGGAGTAAAAGGGGGAAAGCGGTGCATAATAATAATATTCATGAGGAAAGATACTTGCAGCTCACATATTTATCTATCATTACAATAAGCAGTATTTGATTTAACTGTATGTGTTTGTAGCTCATCGTATCCTATTTGACTTCCATACAGGTCATGAAGAACCAACCAAAAACGGCCGAGTCCCAGAGTGACGGAGAGATGGCGGGCGAGTTCAGTGACCAGCGCAGTGAAGACGAGTATTGCCCATGTGATGAGTGCGTTCGCAAGAAAATGGCCGCCAGACCTCTCAGAGAAAACCCGATTCCATCCGCCGAACTTCCGATGTCGAGGGAGTTCGACCTCCTCAAGATACTCCAGCTGAAGAAAAGCCCATCGCCCGTTCTCGCGGTTGTTCCAGTTGTGGAGGAAGAGGAGGGGGATAGCGAGGTCGCTGTAGAGGAGGGGAGGAATTTAGAGGTGGTGCAGGAGGAAGACGAGGACCCTAAAGAGGATATCCAAGCTATGATTGTTTTAGAGGATACGATCCTCGAGGAAGATGAGGAAGGGGAGGAAACCAGCGACAGCACAGGTGAGGAAGAAGAAGCACCTGGGGAAACAGAGGAGGATAACGGTGCAAAAAATGAAGGAGATGAAGATGCCGAAGAGGGGGAGGCAAATGATGAAGAGGAGGGAGGAGAGCAAGGAGAGGAGGGAGAGGAGGAGAGAGCCTCATCACAGGTAGGATCAAGAGCAAAAGGGATTATTTAATTAGAAAAGTGTTAGTCAAACGGTTTAAGCGTCCATCACAGTTATATAAGTAAGTTATGTATTTATATATAAGTTATATGTGTAATGAATAAACTCCTAAACATATTAGAGCCTTAGAAGGGTACAGATATCATGTTCATTATTTTATTACATGTATTTACCTTCTTGACATGTCAGGAGGTTTAATAAGTAAGTATGTTCTTCTGCTGTTACTGCATAAGACAACCTTTTAGTTATAACACCACCTGCTCTCAAAGGGCCTGAACATTAAGTGCACTTTAAAGAGGAATCTGACCTACTGCAGCCTCCCTGCTAAGTCTAAGCCTGCGGGAAAAGATAATCTCACTATCCAATTAGACAGACTGAACAAATCTGTTGTGTTTTCAGCAGCAACTCAGCGCTGCCACTGACGCAAGTGTGCTGTTGTTGTCAGCAATAATAATGTACTGATTAACTGCAGCCTCTGATTTCAATTCAAATGTATTTATATAGCCCAATATCACAAGATACATTTGTCTCAAAGGGCTTCACAAATCAACAAACATGAATGATGATGTAAAAACAACAAACATATCTGAGAATATAGTACAGTGACAAGATACATGTGAAAATACCAATGAATGGGTGCATCACACGATGACACAAATACAGTTAGAATACAATAATTCCAGGTCCATGAGGATGCTTAAAAGGGAGTTTAAACCCAGTCCTAACAAGTCTTAAGCCTACTCTTAAATGTGTGGACACTGTCTGCCTCCCAATTGCGTTAATGACTTTGTTACAAGCTGTACTTACGGATAATAACATGCCAAAGTAGCAGTGAATTACTCCGAGATGATTAACTGTTTTCTTGTTTGGCCCCTCAGTGCCAGGAGGTGAAAAATGACACAGAAGATGGAGATGCTGTCGAAGAGGTAAAGCCTGAGGAGGAAGACGAGGAAGTGAAGAAGAGAGATGTTTCCCTTCTCCATCAGTTCACTAAAACCTCTGTGGAGTCGCAGTCCGGCTCCCTGGAGGACATCGACACAGAATCACCTCCGATCCCTATCGACTCCATAGAAGTGCCCAAAATGGCGGGTGGCGGTACGGGTCAGAGGAGAAGCCGCTCTCCAGGTCGAGTGAAATGCCGAAAACCCAAAGACAACGAACTGGATGACCAATAACTCCCATGAACCCTTGCTCTATCAGTGACTACACAGGTGGAGTTGTTCAAAAAACTGCGACCAAATCAAAGAACTCAAACACTTGAAGCACTTTATCACTCCAGATCCGCTGTAGAACTTGCCACCTTATTTATCCACTATTTAAGTATATTTGTATATTTTCTAAGTTAATTGTAAGCGATATGTCTATATTCTGTATTGTATGTGTACTAATATGGTATATTTTTTAACTAAACATTGACTCCTATGGGTGTATAATGTAAGGTTAAATGATTTATTAAATCATATAGCCATTTATATAACAAGTACCTCGTTAGACGCTAAGATATAACCTTAACTTTGTAATGAGACAAAGAATTGAACTGATTAACTGAAACGGGTTTTCAGTTAATCAGTTTAATTCTTTGTCTCATTACGTTTTGTATTCTCAGGGGTTTGGAAAGTTATTTCCTAGATGTTATTTAAGTAGCCCTGTGATGTAATCTGATTACCCTAAAGGAGTAGTTTTAAGAACATTTTTGCAGAGAGGCAAGAGTTTATACCACTCTCATGTGTCAATATGAAGCTAATGCTAGCTTAGCTTAGCACAAAGACTGGAAGCAGGGGGAAAAGCTAGCCTAAGCTAATTAAAAACTACTCTTGAATTTACTCCAAAATTGACAGAAAGAGATCTTATATTCCGTATTGCTATCTTTATTTAATTATATTTGAATTATTTAACCTTTGCGTAATCTGTACCTCATTATATTAATGTAGTCCAAATACTGTGATCATGTACTGAACATACAGAAGCTCCAAGAGAAACACTGAGCATATCTGAAGGTCTGAATTTCAGGTTGATGTGAACCTTCCTCTGCTGCTTTCATATAAGAGCTTGTTATTTGGTGTGTGTTACATGCTGTATATTCAGCTGGGCTTTGCATAATGAGCCGTGTGGATCAGCAGCGTGAAGCGTGTTACTGATGCCTTACTGTATCCATGGTTATATCAGGGTAGAGGGACAGGAACAGAGGAGGAGATCACGATGGAGGGTCTGACGTTTGTTTCCTGACAACTTGAGCCTGTTTAGGGAGGCCGGATCGAATCAAATCTGCTGTTTCAAAAGCCGGGAAATTGTATTTTTAAAAGACCAATAAAGAGTGTTTTCTCTTGTTAAACGCAGGTCTACTCCCTAACGATACTTTCCTGATTGTGTGTGTGTGTGTGTGTGTGTGTGTGTGTGTGTGTGTGTGTGTGTGTGTGTGTGGTGTGTGTGTGTGTGTGTGTGTGTGTGTGTGTGTGTGTGTGTGTGTGTGTGGCCTGGCATTACTATCCTTGTGGGGACCTAAATCTCTTTACACAGTCACGTGTGGGGACTCGCCTCCCTTATGGGGACATAATGGAGGTCCCCATGAGGGGAATCATTCATTTTAGGGTGAAGACTTGGTCTTGGTTAGGTTAAGGGTTAGGCATGTGTTGGTTATGGTTAAGGTTAGGATAAGTCTCCAGGAAATGCATGTAAGTCAATGTAATGTCCCCTGAAGTGATGTATACAGTGTGTGTGTGTGTGTGTGTGTGTGTGTGTGTGTGTGTGTGTGTGTGTGTGTGTGTGTGTGTGTGTGTGTGTGTGTGCCTATGCTGCTATTGGTCTGTTTGATCAGTCTGTGACATCACCAAGTGAACATCATGTAAAGCAAATTAATATGTGAATGTACTAATGTTGATATAAATAAACTAAACGCACAGGAAGGTGATTCTGAGGTGGCGTTTCTTAATTATTGAATTACTAATGTACATGCTTTGTGTTAAAGGGATAGTAAGGCAACAGTTAAATGTGTTTAGCTACGTACAAAACAAATCAAATCAATGTAATTGTTTGCTATATTTAGCCGTCAGACTGCCCTTTCAAATCGAGAACTGAAGCTTTTTTCTGAGCCACCAGACTCCAAATTATAACGCTGCCTCGATTGATGACTTGCTATTGTATGACTTTTTATTTGATCAGTTGTTGTCCCACAGTAACACAACACGCTCACAGATTAAGGTAGACCAACAATCCCTGTGTTTTGTGAGGTCAAATTAAAGTCTGGTGTCTTTGGTGAATGTATAATTATCAGCGTCAATTCTTCGTCCAAACGTAGACTTTACCCGACTAACAGCATGGTAAAGCAGTGGAAATATACCGTGTAGATATAGTGTAAACTTAAGCTGATATTGATTTGATATGATTGATAACTGGCTAAAATACATTTAAAACCAAGGATACCTCATACAACCCCACTTTAAAACATCCAAACTATTCTTTAAATTCATTTGAAAGTGAACGCAGTGTTTCCTTGTGCAGGCTACAGTTTTTTAATACTTGTATACATATCAAGAACAATGTGCTTTTGCTATCTGGCGCAGATTATATTCACTCTTTTAGCTTTGCTCTTTCCTTTGCACTCGGCTCAGCTCCAAAGGTTCCCAAAGCTGCTCAGCTGCCCTCAAGATACACACTCACGTCACACTAATCCTGTACATGTGTGTGTTGGGCCACGGAGGGATTGAGGTTGACTTACATCACATTGACCGATATGGAAGAGCCTGTACTGTACCTGCAGAAAACTGTAACAGTACAAGGGGTGGAAGTGTCAGCAAATCTTCAGACTGTATATGGTACCCGGGTTCGATTATGACTTTTGTAAATGTCATACCTCTCTCTATACATTTCAACATCTTTACAAAAGAGGCATTAATGCAAAACAACATCCCCTCAGTATCAAGTATACTCCTTTTAACACACGTTTATTATGTAATGCAATATACTGTCAGAGATTATCATATAACACATCAGGAGAACACATAATTGTCTGCTTGCCAATCATAAAAAGTGCATATAATTTAATTTCTATCTCTTAATATTTCAGATTTGATTGTGCACACTATATTCTAACATCTGCCTACATATATAGAACTTAATTCAATATAAATTGAAGCTACATCTGCAGGTTGTTATGTGTGTTTGCGTGGCAATGCTGCCCCTTAGTGGTATACAATGGTATTGCATGATGCAGGTCAGCATCAAAACTGATTTTAGCTTATAATAACATTTAGAAGGAGAACCAATAAAGGATGACCTTTGACTAAAGTGTCATGATTACTCTATATATATTTTTGCTGACATGTGACCTTTAATTTATGACAGGCAAGCTTCCACAGCGTCCCTTACGATTGGCTGTTGCTCCAAACGAAGCTCCGCCTCCGCCAGAGAGCAACCAGTCAGCAAACAGACCAAAGCCAGAGGCACCACCTATACACACACACAGTCAAATATAACTTTATGATGTAAATATAATGATACTCGTGCATCCTGCGGCCTCCTCACCTTGGTCCTGGTTCTGGCAGTGTGTGTGTGTGTGCTGATGTCGGAGGATGTGATTTCCACGGTCACATTGTCCACGTTGTAGACGGCCTTCAGGAGAGCTTCCTCACATTTTGACTCGGGACAACCTGAGAGTTTCTGGAAGGAAAAGAAGAGCGCTTCAATTTAGATTTATACAATGTTTAATGTGACTGTAGTGATTCTTTTCTCTGTGAAGAATGGAGATTGATGAATCTTTTTCACTACTCCACATAGCTCAGACACATGGTTTAATAGTAAGGTAAACAAAAGTATATTATATTACACCTAGACTCACAATGAAGGACAAAAGAAAGACACTTCATATGTAATTTAAAAGATTACGTTAATAGATCAAACGGCTAAACAGGGGATTCTTGAGCTGCCTTTTTAACGGTTCTTTATGCTAAATTTAAAATTAAAAAAGGTGGATGGACAGGGCGTTCATGGTAACATTGTGAGTTTAATCCTGTGTCAAGATCGGGTTTAAAAATGTATTATCTCCTGATTATTGAAGAGGATATACCATGTGACTACACATTAACATGATAGTAGTAAATTAAGGTAAAACAAGGTAGTGTTTATACTGTATATAGGTCTGGCTGGTTTTTGTTTGTCCTTTCAAATGATGAAATGAATGTATGCACAGTAGTAGATGGGGTTGTAGGGTTTCACATCCATTAGTGGTGTTATTTGACCTGCAGTAAACGAGTGGCTCTGCAGTAGAGTTTGCTGTTGGTGACCTGCAGGTCCATCATGTGGTTCTGGTAGATTTTCCCCTTTAAGACGTGAGCGCCGGTGCTCAGAGCGTTCAGGAACAGCTTAGTGCACAGCTCCCACTGCTGAGAGAGAGAGGAGATATTGATTATCTGTTCTCTGCATTTACATAAGCTACTCTGAAAGGGGGAAAACAACAACAACTGTCATCTAAAATAAGACGTATAAAACACGAGAAAAACATAGAAAATCGATAAAGATGGAATTAGTTTTACAGCTCTGTTGAAGGAGGGTGGGAGACAGATGAAAAGGCAGTATAAAGGGGTGTGTGTGTGTGTGTGTGTGTGTGTGTGTGTGTGTGTGTGTGTGTGTGTGTGTGTGTGTGTGTGTGTGTGTGTGTGTGTGTGTGTGTGTGTGTGTGTGTGTGTGTGTGTGTGTGTTGTACCATTTGAAGTAAGCCTGAAGCAGGTGATGGCCAAGTGATTCTTAGTGACGATAAACACAGCTTATTGATGTCATCCTGCAAAAAAACACACATTTTATTAGATGGAAATATGGATTGATTGACAGACAGACAGACACACAGACACACAGACAGACAGACAGACAGACAGACAGACAGACAGACAGACAGACAGACAGAGAGACAGACAGACAGACAGACAGACAGACACACACACACAGACAGACAGAGAGGCACAGACAGACAGACAGACACACACACAGACACACAGACAGACAGACAGACAGACACACACACAGACAGATAGACAGACAGACAGACACACAGACAGACAGACTTGTTGTACAGTAGCTGCAGTGTCTCCATCCACTCGATGATAAACAGCGTGGAGATTGGACGTCTTTTCTCTCACTCGGCGCGCCAACTTCTCCACGTCACCGACATCATCTGTGGAGAGAGGGAAAAAGCCGTTAAGATGTATGTTGATCTGGAAATAATCAACAACAAAAACAAGTTGTCTCACCAGTCTGTGTGTAGATGAGAAGAACCATGTCGTGGTCATCGAGAGACGGCAGGACGAGATGCAAAAAATCCTCATGTGATATACGAAAGTCAGGACCCTGGAGGAAAGAAAAGATATGATTATGAAGAAGAATGTTAAGTAATCACCATTATTTTGTTATTTGACTGTAGTTTGTTGTAGTTCCTGTTGGGCTTGGAGTCCCCCATTCCTGTACTAAGTTCAAATAGGATGCAAGTGCACAAGACAATGCAAATACAAAGTAGATGATAAATGTTTTCTCCCAACAAAGTGGATACGGAAAGGATTTGAAAAGCCAAATTCAAGTAGTGGCCTTGGCTGAAAACAGACATGTCCTATTGGGCTTTACAAAGTAGGTACAGTGTTTCCTACTAATCCTGCTCCGGGTTCATCTACAAGTGAGACACTGCAGAGACAGATGTGACGTTACACGGTGTCAAAGAAGAGCTGGAACTAATTTGAATTGGATTTTGGACATATTAATACTTTGTAAGGCCATGTCTCAAACCCAAAAGACAAGCCGGAACAAAACTAGAGTCAGCACTGACAGCAGTAGTGTAGCTCAAGGTAAACCTAAATGTACAGTGGCAGTTTTGAAGCAGTGCTTTGAATCAGATGGATTGTTTGCATTCATTCAATAATTATTCTAATAAATGTTATTTCATTGTTTCCCTTCACGTACCAGTGGCCCCTCGTTGTTCTTCAGCTCGTTGTACCCTCCGCTGATGAAGCCCCGAACATCTTCGTAGTCTCTCACACACACAAAAAAGAATATTAATGCAAATGTGAAGTATTTGTATCTCCAATTATTTTAGTGTATTCACAGTTTCACGCATGTGTGCATTGAGCTGCAAATGAAGGTGTTTGTGATAATGAGGACGTCACACTCCTCTCACCTGCTCCGAACGTCGGCACACACTCGCTGGCGTCGATGAGACCGAGTACGCCAAGTGCGCCCCAGCCCAGGTAACACACACGCCTACCACGCTGCAAACTGAAGCATGTAGAAGAGAGTTCATCCCAAATAAGTCAAATCAACAAAGAGTTTTTGCATCTGTATCATCTTACACATTTCAGATGTCTGCTATAGTGTCTGTTTCACAAGAGGAAAGGCTTATATTGCCTCTGTGTGTGTTTTCTTTACCACTGGAAGCTTTAGAAACAGCTAATCCACCATGAGAAATGTCATTGTTGTGGGTTTCAAGGAGCTGCTTTTCCACTGTGTAAGATGTCTGGCTGCTAAGTAGCGAGGATGCTGCTGTGAATCAGGACTAGTTTGCCTTGTTAAGTACAATTCAAGGTGACTGGAGGATGTTCTACCTCTTTCCAGCGGCCTCCAACAGAGCGACCATCCCCTCGTTGTGAGCGCAAGGGATTTCCAGAGTTTTCTCATACGCTCTCATGTGCTGCAGGATTCCCCTGTTGGCAAATAAAAGAGATAACTGTATTTGGGAAAATACTGAATGTCCTCTTCCAATATGAGAGTACACATGATAACAAAGGTATCCCAACTGTAGCTGTGTACTTGACAGGATGTCTGATTACCTAGAAGAGCATCAGGACTGTTTGAGGCATATGATAGCTATGTGATTAACATGATGATTCAGCCTCTATGGAGATAGACATATGACAAGCATGATCATTTCTGACGTGGAGCTAATCTGAAGTAAACATTGAATACTGCTTTCTATTCCTCCATCTTGTGACTGTGTAACTCCCCTCTCTTGGATATCAGCATGTGAAGGACACTGTTCAGGAACTAGTTGATGCTCTGTATGTGATGACTACTTCCATTCTGGAGAGGATCACAAACACATGGATCCTGATGTTGAAGCTCAAGCCGGTGACGAGTGAGATTTCTCTAACATCCGCCATGCTTACTGCTGAGTGATGGGTGTGTGTGTGAAGGCTGCAGCGTGAGCAGCAGACAGCACCACCTCCAGGAGGATCTTAGTGGCGCTGCCTCCTTTCATCCTGGAGGAGCCGCTGATGGCCTCCGGCTGAACACACAGACACACACAGGAGTACATGAAGGGCTGTCACTATCAGATTTGCACGACATGATATCTTGACACCTTTAAGGAGAGTTTCTTACCCCGACTGCTGGGTTGATGAGGAAGGCCTTTTTACTTTTAGCGAGCTCCTCCATCCTTTGCACCACGCTGCGGAAAGTGAAGCTGCATCCAGGGATCGGCTCGTCCCTAAAACATAGATTTTTTTGGATGTTAACATTTACTACTAGTTAACATGAATGGAAAAAGAGTGAAGTTCACTCACACACCTGGCCTGATGTGTGGGATTGAAGCCCACAAGAACAGGGGTGTAGACCTCAGGGTTCTGCAGGCAGAGATCCAGCTGACCGGCTACAAAAGGAGCCTTAATGTCGCAGAAATCCAAATCTACACATATTAGCTTCGGCTTTCTGCAAGGTTGCAATATTCTGACTTATAATTAACATCCTGTTCAACAATCATTCAGATTCTGGTGAGTTTAAAGTGACTTACGGATAAACCACAGGAAATACCAACGAAGAAGACACGCTTCTTTCCCTCACAGACCTGCAGAACAACAACAACAAACTCAAATGAATCTCACACACACACACACACACACACACACACACACACACACACACACACACACACACACAACACACACACAACACACACACACACCACACACACACACACACACACACACACACACCACACACACACACACACACACACACACACACACACACACACACACACACACACAACACACACACACACACACACACACACACACACCACACACACACACACAACACACACACACACACACACAACACACACACCACACACACACACACACACACACACACACACACACACACACAACACACACACACACACACACAACACACACACACACACAACACACACACACACACACACACACACACACACACACACACACACATCCCTGACCTCCTTCATACTGGGCATGCCCAGGTGGGATCATCCTCTGGAGCCTCCTGCGAGGAAAACAGAGCTCTGAGGAAAATGGGAAAACAGAGATTTGATTAAAACAGAGGCTAAGAAATATAAAAGATTGTCTTTTCTACTTAATATGAATTGAAGATGTAAATCAGTACGTCCTGCATGCAATACAACATCTGTTCAAAAACCCATACATACTTGTCTCCTCCTGCAATGATGTAGGAATAAACCGGACTCTGGTTCAGCTCCTTCAGCGCTCTGTTGAAAGCTGACTAAAAAAACACACAACAGGAAGTCATTTTTAAACATAACAAGTGATATTTGATCATGATTTTGTCCACACTTGCTATTCTTGGACATTCCTAGAGCACACAAATGGTTTGCCTCTGTATTCCTGGTGGCATTAAATCCTATTTCAGGGCAGCTTTTACCGTGACGAGGAAAGCCAGTCGACCAGAAGTCCCACAGCCGCTCAGCACAACAAGGCTGTCCCGAGGATCCTGTGAAAGAACCAGAAGACTTTAACACCGTCCCCGAGTGACCACGAGAAGAAGAACGTGTAAAGCTCTTCAGGGTAACAACATTCACAGATAAGACTTAATACAATAAGAGTAAATATGTTAGATTTCTGTAAGGTTTCTGCTCAATGCTTGCTTTTTGGAGGCTAAACGGTGCATAGCTCGCACATGGAAGGTGTGGGGGAAACTTCAATTGGAGTCAGGACTCAGAGAGACACGAGGAGAGCTGGAGCTTTGATGGAGTCAGGACTCAGAGAGACACGAGGAGAGCTGGAGCTTTGATGGAGTCAGGACTCAGAGAGACACGATGGAGAGCTGGAGCTTTGATGGAGTCAGGACTCAGAGAGACACGAGAAGAGCTGGAGCTTTGATGGAGTCAGGACTCAGAGAGACACAAGGAGAGCTGGAGCTTTGATGGAGTCAGGACTCAGAGAGACACGAGGAGAGCTGGAGCTTTGATGGAGTCAGGACTCAGAGAGACACGAGGAGAGCTGGAGCTTTGATGGAGTCAGGACTCAGAGAGACACGAGAAGAGCTGGAGCTTTGATGGAGTCAGGACTCAGAGAGACACGAGAAGAGCTGGAGCTTTGATGGCAAACACTGACGGTTTATTTGGAGCTTCGGCCGGAGAATTCACAAGACATGTCACAGAGCCACGGTCTGACCACACGGCTGAGATGCCACAATCAATTCTGAAGAGCCCTCCTGTAGCTCCAGGTTTTAACTAGTTCAGAGTGTAATAATCAGCATTCTTCAATAGATAGACTAAACACAGTATGTTAGATTTCTATAACAGATACCTTGAGGATGAGCTCCACCTTCTTAGCAACCTCCATCAATGTTTCCACCACTTCATCACTCATCAGCCTCTGAAAAGACATTCATATAATCATTTCCTTTATAGAAACCTCTCAAAATAAAGCTTTGATCATAAACCTGTACCTGGTAGGTGGCTCCGGCCTCTTCCAGAAACATCTGGGAGTCACAGGCCTGCAGCATCCTCACAATACATCCTGATGAAGCGCGGTCGATGTCCCGCGTCAGGGGGTTGGACTTCTCCGAAACAGGAAGTGACGGCTCATAATATGGGGACTGAGAAACATTAAATATCAAGAAACATGATTATAATCATATTAAAATGCTTTTTTTAACAGTTCATTTCCTGCTTTTTCTTTTTTTGCTGATACAATCACTTCATTTAGTGGCATATTATCAGTCTTGAAGATAAATGTCTGACCCACAAAGTCCAACTATTCTTTCACTTACTTCCCATTCATGCATGCTGGAGAGCCTGCAAGTCCACTCTGATCCCGACATCGTGCACGACTTTGTCCTTCTCGCTGTGTGACAGGAAACGTCTCTCTGCGTCGCTTGTTTCCTTTTTGTCAGCCACGGGGATTTGAAATGAAAACCACAGAGTGCTCGGCTCTATCTGTAGTGACAAAGTTCACTTGAGGACCTTTGAGACCAGAGAGGAGGGAAAGGAAGTGTGACACACCGACACAATGACCCTGCATGTCTTTATATAACTATAGGTAAGGTAGGTTTATTCATATAGCACATCTTCAGACACAGAGGCAACAGATGCATACAAACCATGCATAAAAGAGATTAGGTGGTACAGTAGGTTAAAAGACTTCTGAGTAAGAGCTGAAAAAGGTCATGTTTTTATCCAAGACTTAAAAGAAATGAACTGTCGTAACTCAAACTCTACCAGAGCAAACGGAGGTTACAAGAGTGCAGTTGTCCTTATTCTCCAACATGCTTTTCAGCCCGCAGTGTCTCATCAGTGAGAAAATATTTACACGGCAGCAGATTGTGGAGTCTGATACATTTCATCGCCTTCAGAGTCAGACTGTTTGCAGCAGCGTGCCTCACTCCTCCAAACTCCCACCACAGTCTGTCGTACCGCCGGCCAACGCTCGCAGTGTCACTAAGGACATTTTCCACCTTCTATAAACACAGAAAAACACTGGTATTATTGATCCTCCCTCTAGATATCACCTCACACCTTCTGTAAGGTCCACACAGAGGGGGAAAGAAAGATATATGTTCATCGTTTTCACATGAAATACTTATAATATGTTGTTTATTGAGTTTCAGCTGCAAATGCTTCATGGGCATTCTTGTTTTTGTTTCTTGAAATACTGAATATGTCCCTTTCAAGACATACAAAAAACATAATTAAGTAGTTTTTGGGTATTCTTATTTTGGTTTTTTTGTTATACGCTATAGTTTGAAGAGAAATAAAATGTGTTATAAGGCTGGTGACTGTCTCCAGAGTGATGCATGTGTAGGCTTCTTGCTCACGCTGATTATTAATGATAGCAGACAGCTCGGCGTTAACCTCTCTGAGTCAGAGCAACAGCAGAGAGCTGTGCGTACGGCTGCCTGATAAATCACACAAACATCTTAATGAATGCTTTTTAAAAAAGGTAATGCTGAGCCAATATCAGACACAATAATATAATCATTTAAAGTGTTTAAACCAAATGTTGTCCACTGGTCAATCTGACTCTTAATTAACCTAAACATCCGATCAGAAACAGATGGTGAAGAGGCAGAAGTGATATATGTTTGCAGCACAGAAGCAGACTTGCAGTAAGCCTCCACTCCCCGAAACAAACATATTCTTTCAGTTTCTTGTCGACTTTGGTCCTTTTTCACCTCTCAATAACTGTGTCTAAGTGCCTTTGACACATGACCAATGCAAGCTGGGGTTTCCCTTCAGAAATGATGAAATTCTACTTGACCTGAGTGGACTCTGTGTTGTTTGCATCTCGTCTCAGTCAGGCCTGCAGCACATTGACCTTGGCACCAAACCTTGAAAGGTCCTTTGATTCAAAGCGAGCCTCCTTCCCATCAGGCTTCAGTCTCAGCATTATTCCTAATTCTTCACAAAATCGCGTCCCTAAGGAGCAAAAAAAGTCATTAATACTTTCAATAATTCTTCTCATAATAGGCTGTGAAATCCTTGGACAAAAAATGGCTAGTTAATTCTGAAATGTTCTACGGGACATTGCGACTAAGTCAACTTCAAAACATCATCACTATCTGCTCTTTTGTGCCTAAAAGTAAACTCCAAACCTCCTAAAGAGCCTCGCTTTCAAATACAAAAAACAGCCTGAAAGTATATTTCTTTCACTGCCAACTCCCTTCAATTACAGTTCAGCAAGACGGGTTTAGGGGCATATTTAGCATCATAAAAACAGAGAGAAATGTGGTTAATTGTATAAATGTGAAACTTTGACTTTAAGAATGAAATATTTTCAGTTGTGGACAAAAGCACGACACATCTTCAAAGTTTGCTGTTGACACATTAACTGTTAAGTGTAATATTTGGTGTAATCAGCCTTAAGTCAAAGGGTCAGGGGGAAGAAAGCCCATAGCTCTCTACACACACACACACACACACACACACACACACACACACACACACACACACACACACACACACACACACACACACACACACACACACACACACACACACACACACAACACACACCACACACACACACACACACACACACACACACACACACACACACACACACACACACACACACACACACACACACACACACACACACACACACACACACACACACACACACACACACACACACACACACACCGACTCCCTGCCCTTCAGCTGCACAGCTGCCGTCGTCATGACAACAGAGAGGCTAATCTCCAGTGGACAGAAGAGAGACGAGAGAGAGAGAAAAGTGCAAGAGCATGTACAGAAAACGTGCTTCTGAGAGCGGGGAGCAAGTGTGAAGATAGGTGTGTGTGTGTGAGCATGCTTGGGAAAAGGGTGTTAGTGAATGATCCTCTGCATCTCCTCTTCAATTCAATGAGATTGGTGATTGCATTTCTATAAGGAATCTTTCCTGAAGAAGTGTACGAATCCTTACATGCTTCCTCCAAGTTCTAAATCCCCTTCCTGAGCTTCATCATCTAAGAAGAAATCCTTATTTGGTCAGCTATAAGGACTTCCTTCTCCTTAAGACTAAATGTACCCATTCCTCTTCTGTTTCCCCCGTGGACTGCATGCTTCCCCTTCATGACACTCCTTCCCTGACTCCTACAGTAACTCATCTCTTGTCATCTCTGGAGCTCCATCCCTCAAATATGTGCCTTTTTGCCCTCTTTTATTCCCGTCACGCCCTTTTCTTCCCTAAATCTCCCAGTCATCCTCTGTGTTTCATTCTGCCTGTCAGTCTGCTCACCCCTGGGAGCGGTGAATCATCTTTCCTCTGACGCTCGCATACACCCCTTTCATCCCTTCTCTAATTCCTAAATCCATCCCTCTTCACTATCTACGGCCTCTCAGCTTTCCAGCTTCCTCTGTCTCTCTCTCACACACACACACACACACACACACACACACACACACACACACACACACACACACACACACACACACACACCACACACACACACACACACACACACACACACACACACACACACACACCACCACACACACACACACACACACACACACACACACACACACACACACACACACCACACACACACACATCTCCCTGCTCGCCTAGCAGGGATCACACACACACACATATGTTCCGGCTGATTAAGCTGGCAGAGCCACATGGCAGTCGGCCCACTGGAGGGAATGATGGACATTGTGGGGAAGAAAGGGAGAGTTTGGGAAGTGCAGAGAGAGAGAGAGAGAGAGAGAGAGAGAGAGAGAGAGAGAGAGAGAGAGAGAGAAGAGCATAGAGAGAGAGAATCGAGCTAGAGAGCACGTCAGTTTTGGGATGGAGGACGTGATGATGATTGATGGAGAGACGAATGTCACACAGTGGAAATCTAATTTGTCCTCCTTCTCTTATAGTGGGAACAGCTGATTTCATTCAGAAAACAATCATCCTGTTTCTCAGGCTTGGGGAGTAACGGATTACATGTAATGGGATTATTGATTTAAAAAAGGTAACTGTATACCCTCACAGTTAGGGAAAAACGATTATTGGATTAGGTTACAGGTAATTAGTACTTGTGTTGAAAGAAGTATTCAGATGCTTTACTTGAGTAAAAGTGCCACTCAATTATTGTCAAAATACTTTAAAACTGTCAAAAGTAAAAGTCCTGCATTCAAAATCGTACTTATATAAGTATTATCAGCAAATGGTACTTAATGAGTAAAGTAGTAATTATGCAGAAAAATGGTAGACCAACACAGTTCAGATTGGCTTTGTATGGCTTGAAGAGTTAGTCCACTAGTTACATTTTTAGAAATGCATTAGGGTAAAAGTAGCTACAGCTGTTAAATAAATGTAGTGGAGTAAAATGACATTATTCCCTTTTAAGTGGAGTAGAAGTATAAAAGTAGCATAAAATTACCTCTTAAAAGTACCTCAAATAAGTACAGCACTTGAGTAAATCTGAGTTACTTCACATCTAATTGAACCCTGCTATTTCTATACAGAGAATTGCAAGACCCCCTTAATTTTCCCATGCGTGTGCACGTGCGCATGCCCGCGTGCAGATGTGATTTCGGGGTTGAGCTTGTTATCCGGTAGAGGGGCGGAGTGAGAGAGAGAGGGGGAGCTGCAGAGGAGCGGAGCTGCGGAAAGGAGAGGAAGAGGAAACCCGGGACCTGCCAGCCTGAGATGATATAACGAGGGAAAGCCCTTTATATTTGACGTAGTTTGGAGTTTTGGAGGCCAACGCAAACACACACCACCTGCAAAACAACACACAGCCGTGATGACTGCCCATCCGACCTCCTCATAGCCCACCACCGTCGCCATAAGATGACCCGCGCGCAAGGACGGGAGATGATGCAGCAGGATGATGACTGCTGCTGCTGGACCGCAACGTGTTCCTTCGCTGCTCACCACGGGCGGTTGTCGTGCATTTGCAGGAGGGCCGGGAAAGAGGGACATGGGCCGCGGAGTCGGACCGGCGGAAAAGCCGGAGCCGCATGCGGCGGGAGCGGCGGCTTCCGCGCGAGCTGTACGACATGGACGCGGAAGACAACCTGGACTCCGCAGCCATTCACATCTGCATGTGCTGCCGCTCCTCCGCGTGCTACTGGGGCTGCCGATCCGCGTGCCTCGGGACCCTCGTCGGCCAGGCTCCAGGGGGGGTCGGGATCCGCGAGACCCACTGTCCCCCCAGGGAGCAGCTGTGGGTGGACTGCCTCTGGATCATCCTGGCCCTCCTGGTCTTCTTCTGGGACGTGGGCACGGACCTGTGCCTCGCCATGGAGTACTACCAGAGGCAGGACTACCTCTGGTTCGGCCTCACGCTCTTCTTCGTGCTGGTGCCCTCCGTGCTGGTCCAGATTCTGAGTTTCAGATGGTTCGTGCAGGACTACACGGGAGGGGGGCTCGGGGAGGTGGAGGGGCTGACCAAGAGGGGCGCGGTGGCTTTGGGGTGCCTTTATCCCGGGAAGGACCGCCTGCAGCTGGCCACCATTTGGCTGTGGCAGGCCACCATACACATCCTCCAGCTGGGACAAGTGTGGAGGTAAAACACACACCTGCTCCTAACCTGTAACCCCCCCCTCCCTATCCCTTTCTCACACACACTCGTGTTCCCCTCACACACTTGATGATGATCATGGTTAGAGTCAGTGGTCTAAAGTAACTAAGTAGATCTACTCAAGTACTGTACTTAAGTAAAATGTGACGTACTTATACTTTCCTTGAACATTTCAATGTGTTGCTACTTCTACTCTAATTAAACTTGGATGAATGATGTGAAATATAATCAAGTGTTAAATCAGACTTTAGTTCCACCTGGAGTAAATTCACAAGCCACCCTGCAGTATACAAAGTCATTCAAACTAGCTGCACCTTTACCAGCTTTGAGAACACTTTCATGATCAATCATTATAAAACATATCATATATATTATTCTGAAATGGACCAATCTGCACAATGACTACTTTTACTGTCGCTACTTTCACTATATTTTGAATGCAGGACTTTTACTACAGAGTATTCCTACACTCTGGTACTTCTACTTTTACGATACGAGTACTTCTCTCTGGTTCGAGTGGTTTGTCTTCTCGATGTAGCTATGAGAAAGTGAGGCGTGCTTCAGTCTGACAGGCAGGAGAGGAGGAGAAACCATGTGACCTCCTCGGTACTTCAGCTATTATCTGGGCATGACAGACAGAAATTAGGAGAGACAGTCAGGAAGGAAGCGAGTTCTTTTTTGGGTCACCTTATGAAAAGTCACTGCCACTGTCTCCTGTAAAACGTGACTACAGTAAGCCTTTACATATGCAACTACAGTTCATATATGTCCAATCAACAGTGAGATGTAGGGGCCGGATGTGGTGCTGAAGGCCTTTCCAGCACCATGGACAGCACCTCCACTGTCTGCTATACGCTTTGGATAAAGAGCAGGGAAATCAGGGCCGTGTGTGTGTGTGTGTGTGTGTGTGTGTGTGTGTGTGTGTGTGTGTGTGTGTGTGTGTGAGTCAAGTGGGAAAACGGTGTAACAGCCCATCCCATGAGTGTCAGCATGCATGGGGAGTATGAAGAGGGAAAGCATCTGCCCTTTTTGCAACTCATCTATATCTCTCTCACGCATACACACACAATCACACACACACACACAAAGAACAACACACACACATATACACACACACAAGCACACACTTGGACCAGGGTAGGTGCTAATTGTTTTGCTAAAAGCTCTGGCGGGGGAACACAGAAACACACATGGACTATGTTGCTCGTATACACACATATTTCTATCCCTACTATAGGTTACATGCTCTTATTGCTTTCATTTAAAGACGTCATCTTGGGGTTTTTTGTAACCCTGATCCAGATGTTTACACTATTTTCTAAACGGTATAGACACAACAAATAATAGAGAAACAACCGGCAATACAAAATGATCATTAGTTGCAGCTTTATCGCTCCAGTGTTCACTCTCTCTCCACATCGTCCCTCTTTCTCCAAGAAGACTCCTTAATGGTGTCCACTTGCCTCTGGGCGGGCAGTAGGGAGAGTAAAGTGTGTGTGTGTGTGTGTGTGTGTGTGTGTGTGTGTGTGTGTGTGTGTGTGTGTGTGTGTGTGTGTGTGTGTGTGTGTGTGTGTGTGTGTGTGTGTGTGTGTGTGTGTGTGTGTGTGTGTGTGTGTGTGTGTGTGTGTGTGTGTTTACATCCTGCCCTGCTACTCTTCTTGCTTCGACCGCTCTGTGGTTGTAGGGTTAAAACCAAAACAATCCCCTCCTCTAACTCCATGCACCCCACCCAGTTATTGCCCCCTCGTGCTGAAAAATGGACTCTCCCGCCTGGAGGAAGAGGAGAAGGAGGATGAAGAAGAAGAAGGAGGAGGAGAAAGGGAAGAAGGGGAGGGAGTGGGGATGTTTGCAGCTGAGGAAATGGTACGGCCTGATTGAGACAGATCGCTGAGAGATGGCGAGGCTGTGGAGAGGAGGAGGGGATGGAGAGGGAGGGTGCACATTCACAATGGGGGAGGGGAGGAGAAAAGAGAGCCGTGAGAGTGGGAGATCTACTGTATTCGTTACATATGGTTTGAAAACACATCCCTCCATGTAAAGACATTACGTGTCTGTCAGGGTCGCCACACTTCATCTGAATTTTAAAACAAGGACTTCTTGTTTACAGATTTCTTTTAAAGAGCTGATTTGTTTATCCTGGTTATTTATCCGTCATTATTTCCAAGCGACTTAATCCATTCATTTGGCTTGAAATGGTTAGAGGCATACACATATGAAGAATAGATAATAATAACCCCTGGTAGTCAAAGCAAAGGAGTCAAGGGCGGATCAGTTTCACTCTCAAGTGGTCATTCAACAACATGTCGGAACATCTGGAAACATCCAGTTAGGAAACTAGGGCTACATCAACCCAAGAATGTTTTTGTTGATTTCTTCGTTAGTTGATTTCAACGACGAAGTCATGCACAAAACGAACCATTTAAAAATATTGTGTTTACAAGAAATGTGCTGTTTATTTTCTAAACAGCGTTTAAAAAAAGTGAAAAGAAATCGTAGGAATAGTGAAAGCTAACAATGGTCAACATGACGATAACCAGTAAACAGTTTTCTACATGTTAAAACGTACTGACTGTGTCATCAGACCACACAAGATAAGATATGGATATGATGAGACAAGATGGGATGAGATAAGATGCTTGGTAGATGTTTGATTGATGTCCCTGTGGAAATGCAAGCAAAGCAACACGAGGAATGCGATTGAAACGTCTATGTGGCAGTTTAAAGTAGGTATGTGAAGGATGAAGAGTTTTTAGACAGCAGAAACTTTCTTCACTGAGCCACTCGATCGTTAATAAGCCTCTTGTGATTGGTAGCCTACGTGCCTGCACTTCTCCGGCCTCCGCATTAATCCGCCCACACACTCGAGTTGCAAATGTGCTCCAGAGAAAAGCAGAAAGACAGTCTGAAGGGTGGACTGTTGCTCCACATCTGCTGGGTCAGTTCAAGTCTTTCCCGGGGTCTCAGGGTCTTTCCTCTGAGTCGACATATCTGCAGGTCTCAGAGCCACTTAGCTCCTGGATTTGAGCAATGCTAGTCCTACACTTGACCTTGTGATAAGGAAAGCAAGGTGAATGTTGCTATGAGTGTCCTCTGTGTGCAGATAGGCAATGTAATAGCAAGGGAGGGGTTTTCTGTGGTGAGTTCAAGAGCTTTACCCAGGTGTTTGATAACACTTCAGGTAGTTACAAGTAGGGATAGGAGAAGTATCTTTTAGCATACCATGATAAGATGATGCTGGAGAATTTGTATTATAGGGATAATGGTGTCTATCGTGGTAGAGAAGTGAAAAATAGAGCCTTATTTAAAGGAAACAGGATATAAGATGTTCAAGAATGTTGCTATTTTCTATTTATGCAGCGCAACCCTACGATTTGGGATGACCTTCTTTAAAAACATGTATTTTCACTATAAGGATGATTACTAAGTGATTCAATAACATATTTGTTTCTTAAAATGTACAAAATAAGTCTATTTTAGTGCCTTTTTGAGAGTTTTAATCATATTTTCATGATCAGCGAGATAGTATTTAATACATAATAATATATAATAATGATAAACTTGAAAATGCTTTACAGAAAAAACACCAACAATATTAAAATGAATACAGAACAAGATAAAGCATCTACCGTGGTCCTAATGAAATTCCCTTGAATGATTTGTAATCTCATTTATTTAGGCTCGTGTTATGGTGACACTTTCCCATCGCCCCCGTGTCTATCAGAGCTCTCCTCTCTCCCCTCGCTGCATCACATTAACACTGATGTGAGCCTGTCCAACATGGGAGTGGTGTGCAAATGTCTGCATTTCCTATGGACGGTGCATTATTTATGTTTTGTGAATTAAGCTTGTGTGTTTCACGTACATGCAGAGTCGTGCATAATGCAGGAGCACATGCACACACGCGATGACACCTTGCACGTAGCACTGTAGTAATGCACTCACAGGGAGGCAGCAGGAGTGCTTTCTATTACATACACACACATGCATCCACACACACACACACACAGTGACACACACACAGTGACACACACTCTGTAAGTGCCCTCAGGCATGTATTGAAACCCCTGCCTACATGCCACCCACATGTACTGTTATCCCTCACATCTAGAAGCACACTCAGTACGTATGTATTATATCGTGTTACGTCTGTTTGTCCATGAAGAGGTTTGGTCAACATAAGGACATTCTGTTCTATTTATATAATAACATATTCAAATAGCTTTTCTTATCCAGCAGACATACCAAACGCACCAATTTACAGGTCAATGTTAAACGTGATATTTGTATTTTTGTATGAGAAAATGACTCGAAACAATAGATTATCAAAGAAGTAGCAGACACACGTTTCAATTGATCGTCTAATGGATGAATTGTTTTGAATCTAATTTGGTATCAGATGAAGTTTATCAAGTCCTTTGTAAAGGATTAATGAGAACATTAGTAAGAGATGCAACAATAGAAAAATTAATTGCGGACAATTTTGACTATCTAGAAATCGTTGAAAATGAAATGTGGAGATTTACTGCTTTTCTGTGTTTTATATCATATCAAATGGAATATCTTTGGGTTTAGACAAAACAATACATTTAAAGTCATCAACTTACACTCACATATTGTGACGGATATTTTCCACTATTTTCTTACATTCTTTTGAGCAAAAGCTTGAAAATCTCGAAAAGAAACCTAGCAAATGAATAAAATGAAAATAATTGTTTGTTAAAAAGTGTGTGAAAGGTGAGACGAAATGTAACTTGAATGTGTGCTCTCACCTGTGCAGGTACATCCGGACGCTGTACCTGGGCATCATGTCGCGGCGGCAGAAGGAGCATCAGCGGCGCTGGTACTGGGCGATGATGTTCGAGTACGCAGACGTCAACATGCTGCGGCTGCTGGAGACCTTCCTGGAGTCAGCGCCTCAGCTGGTTCTGCAGCTCTGCATCATGATCCAGGAGAACCGGGCCGAGACGCTGCAGTGTGGGTGGAGCACGCGTTACATACAATATATCCTTAATGTCATCATACAAAGTACAACAAACTTTCTTAGGCAACTCTCACTGCAGTAAAAAATAGACACAAATAAAGAAATAAGAGTGGTAAAAGCAGAGGTAGGAGCGATGACAGTGCAACGAGATAACATTCAATGGCAATAATATCATTTCTAATTACTATTAGATCTGGGCCGCCAATGTTTGCGTTGCAGCAGCATAAAGAGACAAGGCATTGTACATCGGAGGAATTAAAAGGCTAGGAATAAACAATCCAATATGTAAACGTCTCAAATTGAAATAAAATAGCATTAAAAAAGTGGAAAATATACGTTTCCAGTAACAAAATATAAGCAGGATAAGCTGAATATTCCAAGTGTCTATCTTGGTAGAGAAGGGAAAAATAGAGCCTTATTTAAAGGAAACAGGATACAAGATATTCACAAAATGTTGCGACCCTATGATTTGGGATAAATTGTTTTATTTTCATTATAAGCATGATTACAGTCCTTGTTTCTTAAAATGTAAAAACAAGTATGTTTTAGTGCCTTTTTGAGAGTTGTAATCACAATTTGGATGATTAGCGAGAGAGAGTATTTGGAATCTCAAGTTACAGTAAGAAAATATAAGCAGGATATTATATATACATTCATTGTGTATTAAATGAAATTGATTGAATAAACACCAGGTTCTTGTGCAGCACACAAAGCACATCCACATCAACAGCTGCACAAACAGTAATTATCCATTTGCACAAGTCATGCTCGGTAACGTGTGGCTGCACATGGGGCTGCGCTTGGATTTGTCACAGTGTTTTTTGGTTCTAGAAAGAAAAGCACAATCATAGGTGTCCGAGGGAAGTGCCAGCCTCCTCCTTATTCATCCTCCAGGAGATGAGTCATCCATGGTGTTAATCATATTCATCGATCTGGACTTGAGGGACAGCTTCATGCAAATATGTAGCAAGTACAGGGGGTGGATGCGTGCGACAGAAATAACCTTTCTATGTCATATTGTAAGGCTTCATTACCACATGTCTTGTCACACACTATTTATTTCAAGATGCGCCCACATGATTACACACAACACGTCAGCATGATGGGAAATGTGGAGACAGAGAGGGTTTTGGCATCTAAAGTCAAGGCAAAACACAGCCGCTTCTTTTTATATCACTCCCTAAAATATGTATTTACAGAAAAGCCTTTTTTTCAGTAAATCGTTTTTTTAGTTTTTTGCTAATTTTAGGTTTCTTTCTGACTGAATACTGTTGCATCCAGTTCTGTAAAGCATGCTGTGTTTCAAAAAGTGCTATACTAATTAAGATGACTATTCAACATCAATAAATATGGAGTTGATTAGTTTTGCTTTGCATAACAACTGAAAGCTGAGGGGAAACAAAAGGAGTGTTAATCCTCTCATTTATCTCTCAGCCAAATAGCCAATACATTTATTTTCCATTTACTATGTGAGGGCAGAGTGAGCATACTCTAAAAAGCAATATGAGAAGTTGAAGCACCTCAAAATTGGACACAGTAGCTCTAACATCATAATTATGTTCCTGTGTGTTGGGGAATAATTTGCTGAGGTATTCAACCTTCGACACAGTTCATTGTTTCCTCTTCTCACTGTCTCCTTTCTCACGGCATAAGTCTAAGGCCTTGGGTTCTGCTGCTATCTCTCTTAAGGGGGAGGAGCTTGGGTTCTGCTGCTATCTCTCTTAAGGGGGAGGAGCTTGGGTTCTGCTGCTATCTCTCTTAAGGGGGAGGAGCTTGGGTTCTGCTGCTATCTCTCTTAAGGGGGAGGAGCTTGGGTTCTGCTGCTATCTCTCTTAAGGGGGAGGAGCTTGGGTTCTGCTGCTATCTCTCTTAAGGGGGAGGAGCTTGGGTTCTGCTGCTATCTCTCTTAAGGGGGAGGAGCTTGGGTTCTGCTGCTATCTCTCTTAAGGGGGAGGAGCTTGGGTTCTGCTGCTATCTCTCTTAAGGGGGAGGAGCTTGGGCGCATCATTGTTGCCAGTCTATGACAGAGCACAAGCTGCCATGAGGTAGTTTACTGATCAGGGACGTAGGTTCCCTGGCGCACATTCTTTCCTATGGACGAGAGCTCTAGTTAGATTCAGGATCCATATTTGTTTAGTCTCGCTGATGAAGAATGTTGATTATTACACTCCGAACTAGTTAAAACCTCGAGCTGCAGAAGAGTTCTTCAGAATTGGTTTGGCAACCGCTGTGTCAACTCGTGACACACCACCTGTCTCGTCAATTCTCCGGCCGAAGCTCCAAATAAACCGTCAGTGTTTGCCATCAAAGCTCCAGCTCTCCTCGTGCCTCTCTGAGTCCTGACTCTCCATGGCGACATAAGTTTCCCCCACACTGTGCATTAGAGCTAGAACTACTGAAAAGCCCATCATTGATTAGTCTGTGGAAAAAAGTGAAAATGGCTACTAAAATGTTAGAGATAACTTATTCAAATAGCTGTTCTTATCCAGCAGACATACCAAACGCACCCATTTTCAGGGCACTGTTCAACATGAGGAAACCTTTCTGTGTTTATATCATATAAAAGAGAATATTCTGGGGGTTTAGACAAAACAATACATCAACTTACACTCGCATATTGTGACGGATATTTTCCACTATTTCTTTAAATGTTTTGACTGATAATGATTTTGTGCTTTTTGTTGTACGTACCTTGGTTGTCTTTGGTTCTGATTGAGTCAAACCTCCTCTCCCCCGTGCAGGCATCTCCTCCCTGGGCTCCCTCCTCTCTCTGGCCTGGGTCCTCGCCTCCTACCACAAGCTGCTGAGAGACTCTCGGGATGATCAGCGCTCCATGAGTTATCGCGGCGCCCTCCTGCACCTCTTCTGGCGCCTCTTCACCATCTCGTCTCGCGTCCTCTCGCTCGCCCTCTTCGCCTCCCTCTTCCACATCTACTTCGGCATCTTCGTGGTGGTGCACTGGTGCGCCATGGCCTTCTGGGTGGTGCACGGAGGCACCGACTTCTGCATGTCCAAGTGGGAGGAGGTGCTGTTCAACATGGTGGTGGGCATCGTGTACATCTTCTGCTGGTTCAACGTGAAGGAGGGACGCACTCGGCACAGGATGGTGACGTACTACATCGTGGTGCTTTTAGAAAACACCATCCTCACAGGGCTGTGGTGAGTCAGAGCCTTTCCTATGTTTATCCATCATGTACTTTTTAGCATTAAAGGTCCCCTGTTATACTGTTCTTCATCAATATATCATAGGTCTCAGATATATACAGAACATGTCTCTGATTGGCTGAAACACCAAACAGATCATTGCAGCATCCCATAATCCCCTCTGTTTCAGCCCTGTTTCAAAAGTGCTGATTCTCTGTCTGTTACTTCAGATGAAAATAAGGAGCCCCTCCCCACGCCCCTCTGAGAGACATTTGGTTAAAAAGAACTCAATGGTGCTCTAGGAGGAGATTCAGGTGATAAGGGGGGGGGGGGGGTGACCTTGGTTGCTGATTGGCTAATAGTTACCAAGCCAAAACATCGTTATGACATCATAAAGTGGCCAAAATCTGATCAGCTCATTTTCAGACAGGTTTTTATAGAAATGGATCAGGACAAAAAGAGAGAGAATCTTTGTTCCTGAAACTTTCAGAGTCTCTTTCCACAGAGGGGACACATGTTGATGTAGAAGAGACATGAAGAAGAGGGGACACATGTTGATGTAGAAGAGACATGAAGAAGAGGGGACACATGTTGATGTAGAAGAGACATGAAGAAGAGGGGACACATGTTGATGTAGAAGAGACATGAAGAAGAGGGGACACATGTTGATGTAGAAGAGACATGAAGAAGAGGGGACACATGTTGATGTAGAAGAGACATGAAGAAGAGGGGACACATGTTGATGTAGAAGAGACATGAAGAAGAGGGGACACATGTTGATGTAGAAGAGACATGAAGAAGTGGACTTTGCATAATAGGTGCCCTTTAAATTCACTCTGCAGACACACTCACCCTGTTGTCGCTCTGATCCTTCAGGTACGCCTACAGAGACCCGGCGCTGACCGACTCCTACGCGGTCCCAGCGTTGTGCGGCGTCTACCTGACCTTCGCTGGTGGTGTCCTGGTCATGCTGCTTTACTACGGCTTCCTGCACCCGGCCACCGCTCATCACCACCCGAGTCCCGCCTCTTCCTGCTGCGCTCAGCTTCTCTGGGGTCTCCCTTTGCCTCCATCAGCTCCTCCCACCGCCCCGCCCACCCCAGCTCACATGACCAAGTCCGAGACGGAAGAGGAAGTGGCCGAGTCGTGTCTTCCCGTCTTCCAGGTGAGGTCGGCGCCCATCACCTCCAAACCAGAGGGCCCGCTGATAAAGATCGACATGCCAAGGAAGCGTTACCCAGCGTGGGACGCTCACTACGTAGACAGGCGCCTGAGGAGGACTATAAACATCCTGCAGTACATCACGCCGGCCGCAGTGGGCATCCGATACCGAGACGGACCCTTAATGTACGAACTGTTGCAGTACGAGTCCTCCTTCTAACACATCAGAAGCACCATAAAAAGACACGTGGATGTTGAGACTTAGAGGCACGCACAACGTCACACTTGATGTAAGCACACAAACACAAAAGCAATCACACTTTTATGCACACACACGAACACATTCCCCCACGGCCATGACTCAGCGATCTGCTTCAGCGCGAGTCCATCTCTTCCCGTCTCTATTCCCCTCTAATCACTCTCCATCTCGTTGGTTTGGTGTCACGCGTTCGCTCTCTCCGCTGTGATCAAAAAACGACAAGAAGTTTTAAAATATGAGCGCAGTTCCACCCTTTGACCACCGCATGCCGTTTACGTTGCGTCGCTCACACTTTCTCGGGTTTCAGGAGAATACAAAGACGTAATGAAAGAACAAACGTCACTTTGAATAAAAAGCGTCTGTGAACATGTTCTTAGTCTAGTCAAAAGGTAGTGTATATATTTTCTATGTGAAGATCGGGATGTTTTTTATGTACCGTGGGACGCATTGGGGTGGAGCAGAGCATGATGGGAAAGATGGAGAAAGAGCGGGAATTGGCATTTAAACTAAAGCTGGGCTCAGAGAATAGTGACACATTTTGGGAAAAACCTACTAATTCCTATCCTAAAATGATGCTAACACTTAAGCGACACTAAAAATGAGAATATGAGAAGTTGAAGCAGCTCAAAATTTGACTAAATAGCTCTAAAAGAAAAAGTATAATCCTAGCTCAATTACACGCAACTCAAACAAATGACAGTATCGATAAAGAAGTGGTTTCCTGCCTGAAATATAAAGTACATTACATTGGCTACATGGTTAGATAGATGAGATATTGGACTCTCTCAACACCCTGTGCTAAAGGGTTAGCACGGAGCTAGAGATCTACTGAGAACAGATGATGCTACGGGTCTTATTGCTAAACATGTACACTAGTCAATGTGCCAATCTCTTTCCAATCACAACACAGCGGCATCGTCATCCCGTGTTCGTGGAATAAGTGTTACTGCCTGCTGGTGTTTTCAGTCTTACTATCGTGTGGTTGTATCATAAACATCACCGAATACAGGAGGGAACTTATCTCCATCTTCCTGTTGTGCTTGGAGGTTAGAAAAAAAAGTGGAAATGTACAAATGCAAGACTAATTCTTTGTGATCTACATTTCTCCGTGATGTCTCTATCATGCTGGTCCCACGCTAACAGGGTGCCGCCACTGAAGCTGATATAAAACAGTTTTTGGGCTTTAATAGTCACAGCCCTCTCCATGACTTGCCTCTGTAACAAGTCCAAAAATCTACTCCTCCAAAGCCACCCACGGCTGAGCTGTGATGCATGGCTCATTATTGAGTTTTCCCATTTGTTTATCCCTGTAATCCAAGCTGTTACATTGGCAGGCGACAACAAATGAGCCGAGATATATCAGTTATCAGCGGAGAGGTTGATCCTGAAGTCGCACGTCTTCAGGGGGGGCGGAAAAGTGTTTTTACACCTTTTCTCTAGTCCCATGGTGGAGGTAGAGCAGGTGAAACCCAGCCATGAGATATTGCACATGGCGCGGTGAGAACGCAACGTCAACATTTTTGAGGGCAGCTTTAATCTCTAAAAAACTGTAGAAAATGTAGGTTAAAAAACGGCTTCCAAAAACGTTGTTGCTTGACAGACATCTGAGAACAATTTATAAAACCACTTCTATACAGTAGCAACAATTGCAAATACTTACACACAGGTAGAGTCAAAACTGCCAAGGCCATCGAAACAGGAAAACACATCCAAAGGAAATCCAAAGTCCAGTATCAGCTGCAGCTTCTAGACAAATGGCAGTTAGCAAGTATCACAATGCACCTATAACATCATCAGACTCCATGGACAGTTTAAAATGCATGCAACAGAACCATAAATAGTGTCTATTATAAGTCAAGTATTCTTCCATATGAAAACATTACTCAATCCTCTTGTGACCATCATTAAAAAGCGAAAAAGACATTAGGAATCGAACAGAAAAGGATCAAGACATCAACAACTTCTTGCAGTTAAATGTGGAAAAAAAAGGGCCCTGAAAATGTTGACGTATCCCATAAATTGTGTGAATGGACAGTGAGCTTATGATACTTTTCCGTGGTGCTAGCCAATTAAAAAAAAACCCCGAAACAAATCAGTTTATTTGCTGCAAGCTAGATTCAGTATGTGCAACGCGCAGTATTAGCCGCAGTGATCATATGGTGCAACACACTCGAGCTACAGAGTCAATTGGCTGCTAATCCCACTTCATATGGTGCAAATATGACACACACACACACACACACACACACACACGTACCAATGGTGCAATAAGGGCAGATTGTCTCTTTGAATTTATGGTGCAACTCGAGTACTGCCTTCAGTTGTCGGCCAAGGCTCCGCCAAACGGACAACTGCTCTTCCTGTCCTGCAGCTATGCAAGTCTCCGACGCAAGGAGATGTGCTTAGTGTACACACACACACACACACACACACACACACACACACACACACACACACACACACACACACACACACACACACACACACACACACACACACACACACACACACACACACACACACACACACACACACACACACACACACACACACACACACACACACACACACACAGGGTTTTCCTCTACAGCAGGGAGTCAGTTACGAGGGGTGTGTCCCTACCTCACTGCTTCCACACACACACACTAATGTCCACTAATCCCTAATCCCTCACCCCTTTATCATTTGGGAACAATATTCATATGGTGCTATTGAGTAAAGATGGTTTTTGTATTGGCGTGGTCACATGATGAATTTAGCCAAATATGTTTATCAAATTGAGATCAGTGTGTGTACATAAAAGCAGCAACACCCTCTGAGAGCAACACATAAAAAGGAACAAATCTGCAACAAGAAAAAACCGGGTAGGTGGAGTTATTTTTAAAGATATCTGAGTCATGGTTTAAGATTGACTTCAGGAGGGTGGTGCTGGTTTTTGGTACATTTAAAAATAAAGGGTTGAGAGGAATAGAAAGAGGACAGCATACTGTTTAAGCACGGCAAAAAATATGTGAACCTTTACTGTCCAGATTGTGGATTTCTTGCATGAATGTTTTAGATTTGACGGCACTATAACGGAAAAAGTCACAGCTTCGTTTGTGCTTCTGGGATGTGAAAGGGAGATTTATGTTGAGCAGCTTCTGACCTTTTGACCCTAACTACGACCTCTTTGCACCCAGAGCTCCAGCCGGTCAGAGATCAGGTTTAACACAAATCAGGTCTGACACAACCAAAAAAACTAACAGTTCCTTCTTCATATCGACGTGTTCATGTGTGGCATTCAGACTCAGCTGCAGCTTCCCAAACAAACGGCAGGTATTTGACCTTCTTACCATCTCTATTTTGTCTTTGAAATCAGACTCATGGACACACACTCTCTACAGATGAGTCTGCACGCTACAAATGAAACTCTTTTACTCTCAAAAACCCAGAGCCTTAGCACGGCCCACTCTGTAAGGAAAATGTATGGCTACACATCCACAGCTATGCACATGACACACAGAAAGGTGCTGGGCTTGGATAACCTTTACAAACTAATACCACATCACTGTTATCATGTAAAGCCTGTACTTACTTAATTTGGTTGCCTTTATTTGTTTGCAAATAAGAGGTGAAGACGTGTAAATGTGCAACAATGCATTCATGTGATATACCATTTGTTTACTGTGTGCGTTTGTTTATGAAAATGTGGTTTTCTTGCATCGTTTCTGTTTTTTATCCTGTTATTGGGTTCAAATGTAGTCCAAGGGGGGCTAGTTTCATTTACTTTTAGGGAATAACCAGGCTGGATGCAACGTCCCGACAGAGGAATGTGCATCTGATTGTGAAAAGTAGAAACAGAAAGATATTTTTGTTTGGTCTTAAACTAAAAACCGTCCACTATCAGGGTCTGTGAAGCATATGAGGCCTGTGGTTAGGCTGTGTGTGTGTGTGTGTGTGTGTGTGTGTGTGTGTGTGTGTGTGAGAGAGTAATGCTTAATTTGCTTGTTTTTTAGCCAAAGTTTTACTTGCATGGTCCAGAGCTTATGAGCTTAATTATCATCATGTTTTTTTTTAACTGATCTCAGAGCAGTTTCTACCAGATCTGAGGACATTTGAAATCCTTTCCGAAGACGTTTGACTCAAATAAAATCATGAAAAAGGGGAATTTTGGGAGGATTTCAGTGGTTTCCCTCAGGTGTGGATACTATAAGCACATGGCAGGGTCAAACGAGACGTGGATGTATCTATAAGATGAGTTTTTGTTTTGTTGGGGTCATGCTTTTTCTACTGTGTTCTTCATTAGGAAAAAAAAACGTAGCTTTAGAGATTTCAATGTGCAAAAAAAAAAAAAGTACCTTTTCATTTCTCGTGGTTGGCATTTTGATTGTAAATACCTTTTTCTGGTGATGCTCCTCAGTTGGATCTATGTTCGATGAGTTGGTTAGATGGCTCTTTCAAATGTACTGATAGTAAATGTTCTTTATAAATATCCAGAATGTAAGACGTGAGAAGTCAAATACGGCTCGACTGGAAACTGTGTTTTTCGTAGGAGTCTGTGCCATCGTGTTGTCTCGAGTATAAGCACACTGATACTAGATCTGTAGGAAAGAGGACGTTTCGGGAGGTGATTGGCCAGACAGACACAAATGTTTCACTTGAAAAAAGAAGATTAGCACAAACAGATATGTAATATTCCTCTCTCACATTCCTGATAAACACAAAAAAGGTTTTTACTGTTCTGCAAAGAAAGACCATCATCACAAGGATCGGTGAAGACTTAAACATGTATTTAAAGTTAAAACTGTCCACTTGAACTCCTTATATTGTGCTTTAAGTGTATGAGACAAGTGCTCAATAATGTTTACCACAGTTATATCTGAACCTTTGTTAGCTTAGCTTAGCACAAAAAGTGGTAGAAGGGGAAACAACCAGCTAAATCTGTCCAATGTAAAAGCACCATGCTAGCTGTTTCCCTTTACTTCCAGTCATTATGCTAAGCTAAGCTAACCACCACCTCTTTATATTAAGTGTACATTAATGAGAGTGGTATCAAAATGATTATCCAACTCTTTTAAGGCACATAAGTGTATTTTCCAAATTCCCTGAGGTGTTCTTTACAATTGTTATTTTGTTTAGCACCTGTAGGAGCCGCATTTAAGTTTATTTTGATTTGATTTAGAACCTGTTTCAGTGAGTGGTGCGCTTTGCTCAGGTGAAGGGGGCGGGGCTAACGCTTTAAATTGGAGGTGCAGGTGTGTGACGGCAGGGCAGCAGGCAGCAGCAATACCGTCATTGACACGCAGACGCAACTTTAGGCTTATAGAAGACGGATTATTAGGATCTGCAGTTTAAGTTTACGTTACATATTGTTTTCATATTTTGTTTTATTTGTTGCTGGAAATAAACGTTGAAAAGCAACCGAAACGTCCAGTGGATTTTTTTACTGCGAGTCTGACACTGCTTCCCAGCCCCAACCTCTACATGTGGCCAAGAACAAACTTTTTTGGATGTTGGCCACTACAGCACCCATTTGAACCCTTTATTCACTTGGAAGTAGGTCAAATTAACCCAACTAACTTAAGGACAGATACGTAAAATGAGTTATATTTGTTAAGATGGACATTTCTGACTTTAAATGTGATTAAATAGCTTGGTAAGATGATCATATTTGCAGCTTCATACCTCGCAGATCAATACATAAGCACATATTTCAAAGGGGAGAACCTTCTGATGAGAGCTCGTCTGTCTGGCTAACGTCTCCCGTCTTCTCCGTAGAAATGATTGTCATCGACCGTGTTCAAACCGCTCCTGCGTCCGCTCATAAAAAGCACCATTCAGGAATCTTCTGGTCTTCGATTCCTAAATTCACAGCGAATGTTTCCGACCCACCACAAAAGAAACGTGAGAGAAAACAAGGCGTGCATCTCTCGTGTGATTTATGTGTCTACTTACCATGTTAATGCATTCTGGGAAAGAGTTGAATGATATTTTCAATGGCTCTCTGTGGCCAGCGTTAGGAAATGTGTTATTTTTGTTACAATACCTCCTGAAAACAAAGTCTATTTATCTGTGAAGAGACAGAGATTTACAATAATACAGACTACATAGAAATGATGACAGATTTTAACAAACAGATATGAATACATGTATAGTTCATTTGGTTTTGAACACGATAAAGAAATGTTTATGCGTCAGTATTGAGTTTGATTTTATATATTTACCATTTTATTACATTGTATTGTTGTGACTGCAATGGAGAAAAAAATATATAAAGGAATATAAATTAATTTTTCCAAATGTGTGTCGCTTTTTCTTTCCTGTTTTTCATGTATACCAGTAGTCTGATACAATATGTACAGTTTGAAAGGGTGTTAAATGAAATTAGGTGATGATTAATGGTTTTTGTGTTAATGTAATAGCAGTTAAAAAAGGACCGGTCAAATTTGACCGCGAACACCAAAGTAAGGGGGGGAAACAAAGGGTTAATACATATACATAAAAAGTCTGAAATCCAACCAGCATTATTTATTTTAAATGTCATTAAGCAACAGGAATCCTTTTACATTCGCATAGTGCCATTTTTAAAACAAACTAAAGTGAACACGGACAAAGAGTGCAAAAAGCAGCTTACATGAAGCATTTCAAAACACAAAATAAATATAATAAATCTGGATGTCTCCCACTTATTCCCGCAGAAAAAGGCATACTTACCCACATATAGTTAAATATTCATGAGCGTTTTATACAAACAGTATATTTAGAGATACATTAGAGCTGCAAGATATCCATTAATTAACAAATAGAAAACAAATGTTGATAATCAATTCACTTTTAAATTAATTTTCATGCTAAAATGGCAGGAAATGCTGATTTAGTTTCTCAGATATGGAGATTTTCTGCATTTCTCACATTATAAAGTGATTTTATTTGGGTTTTACGAACCAAACAAGGCATTAAATGACAAAAACGTGGACTTTGAGAAACTGAAATGGACATTTTATCACAGTTTTACAAAGTTTTCTGGATATTAAGGATGTGTGGATGAAGAAAATGAGCGTGAGTTGCAGACTTAATGGATAAAAGGTTGGAAGCATGCGAGTGGCACTGCACTAAAGTATGAGAGTATGGATATTTTTGTAGGTATTGATAATAAATGATCATCCCTTTGCTGTTTAAGGCTCTAAATCAGGCTTTAAATCAATCAATCAATCACAAAAACTCAAATGTGTTCATGTTAACGAAGGACCTTATTCTTATAATGACCATTTATGACAGAAATCCCTTTCTAAGATCAATATATCTATCCTCCTTGAAGCATTCATTGTGCATCTTAATAAAAGGATAGTCTTTGGTATCATTTGTATACCTGTTGAATGGATATCTACTGAATAATTTGCATTGAAATCCCCCTCTAACTGTAGCATGTGTTACCGAATACACTATATTTCAGTCATTTCAGATTGAAATGTTCAGTTTTGAAGCATGCAAGTATTGACAAAAGTAACATTTTAGTGATATTGAGATTTCTTCCAGTAACAAATAAACCAAAACAGTAACAGTGCACGCAGAGAGACAATCAAAAATAACTGAAACTAGCAGAAAACACAGTGATATCAGTGATGCACAGTTTACATCTTACATGAGCGACTGGCCCCCCCTGCTGGCAGGACGTAACATTACACATTCCAACAACGCACCCCAGAAAGATATAAAATAAACCTCTTCAATCCTTTACATTTTCCAAAAATGAAGTGATTCATCTCACTGGCCATCACCAGAACAAACCCTCAACATTTCAGCAAAAATAAATTACACATCACAACAAAACAGTACGGGCTTTTTGCCACATGTTCAAGTCTATGTAACATTATGGACGTTCAATGACAACAGTAGTATTTCCTACAGCTGTTTTTAAACCAGCAGGCCTTCTACCTTGTGTGTGTGTGTGTGTGTGTGTGTGTGTGTGTGTGTGTGTGTGTGTGTGTGTGTATATATATATATGTGTATGTGTGTGTGTTTACGGGCTTTTTGCCACATGTTCAAGTCTATGTAACATTATGGACGTTCAATGACAACAGTAGTATTTCCTACAGCTGTTTTTAAACCAGCAGGCCTTCTACCGTGTGTGTGTGTGTGTGTGTGTGTGTGTGTGTATGTGTGTGTGTTTACGGGCTTTTTGCCACATGTTCAAGTCTATGTAACATTATGGACGTTAAATGACATCAGTAGCATTTCCTACAGCTGTTTTGAAATGAGCAGGCTTTCTACTGTGTGTGTGTGTGTGTGTGTGTGTGTGTGTGTGTGTGTGTGAGTATATATATATATGTGTGTGTGTGTGTATACGGGCTTTTTGCCACATGTTCAAGTAACATTATGGACGTTCAATGACAACAGTAGTATTTCCTACAGCTGTAATTAAACCAGCAGGCCTTCTACCTTGTGTGTGTGTGTGTGTGTGTGTGTGTGTGTGTGTGTGTGTGTGTGTGTGTGTGTGTGTGTGTGTGTGTGTGTGTGTGTGTGTGTGTGTGTGTGTGTGTGTGTGTGTGTGTGTGTGTGTGTGTGTGTGTGTGTGTGTGTGTGTATGGGCACATGGACAACACACACAAGGCCGCAGCCTCAGAGCGTAAAGTGCAACATGTTCTGTAAAGTACCTCTAAAAGCGGGAACATGACAGATGTCCGGTTACTCCAACATGGGGTCGTCGTCGTCATCGTCGTCCACCTGAAGCCTCTGGAAGGGACGAGAGCCTGGAGGGCGACGGGAGCTCAGGAACCTGAAGAGAACTGAAGAGGAAGGAGACCCGTTAGTAAAGTCAGACAGATTCACAAGTTGATTTCATTAATAATATCCCATTTGCAACCTCCATTTTGACCTTCTGAATTAGTGTCTGATTCAGATAATGAGCTCAAAGCAGAGAAGATACATTTCTATGAGTATATTGTAGTGAAAGAAAAATAAAAAATGACGTGGAGCTGGAGATTATTATTTCTAAGGTGAACATTTTTGGGAAATTTGGTGACTAGTAAAAACTAGTTGTATCAGTTGTATTGTTGTTGCTCTGTTGGAGGAGCCTGTGACCTAAGATTTTCATTGCTATATCTACACCAGGGGTCGGCAACCCCTGGCACGCGTGCCACCAATGGCACCGTAACCAGTGGCACACTATAGGAATAAGTGTACAAAATATTTATTTTATTTTCGGATTCTGAACGAGACCGCCGCCAGTGCGCGTCTCCCCGTTACCTGCAGAAGGAAGCCATGCACGCAACGCAGCCCCGCTCTCTTTAACTCCAGGCGACTTTCTTCCGCTTTCCTCCGTGGTGCAGTGCTGATAGTTTCACCACAGAGGAAAGCACTTCACAAATTGCATTACCCATAAGGAGCTGTAAAAATGCCCCAGTTTTTGCGTGGCGATCGATATCGGCCGATACTCACTCTCTGCCGATCGATCGGTGCTCTCTAAAAAGGCCGATCGCGAGACGTAACATACATGACACTTTTCTCTGTGTGCGGCAAAACAAGCTCGCAAAAAAATCGCTTCACCAGTCTGGCAGTATTTTAAGGTGTCCGAAAATGACAATAAAATAGCGGTGCAACGTGTGTGAAGCAGAAATCCTGCAGCTCCACCCGCTGTGACGGACCGGTGAGCGGAGCAAAACACACAAGAGTTAGACCTAACACACTTAGCTATTTGATCTACCTTTGGAACTAGTTATACATATATTTATTCTTCACTGTCACTCATTACTGGATCAGTGAGCTGCATAGAGATACTGGCAGGCTGTCAGGAGAGAGAGAGAGGGGGAGAGAGGAAAAGAGAGCGCTTCCGCTCATTTCTCCCGTGTTATTATCCAAAGTTAATGTAAACTTGAATAATGTACTTTATTTGAATGTAATAATTATGTTGGTTGTTGTTTGTGGAAGCGCCAGTGAATGAGCCCCATTAACTGAGTTTTAAACATCACTTTTCACGAGTGTTTTCGTCGAGCTCTTCAAACCCCCCCCCCCCGTTGATAATTCACGATCGTCGGCACGCTGATAAAACATTTTTTTTTAGAATGGCACTTCATATCAAAACCCTCATATCAAAACTCATATTGCCGACCCCTGATCTACACTGTAGCTATGTACACATGACAATAAAAGCCTTGTAAGAACTTGATGATTCTATAAAATATGACAACTTTAAAAGGAAGGACATCAAAATGTGAAAAAGTCTAAATAGTGGTTACTTTACAGACTTACCAGTGATAGCAGTGAGCATCAGCAGGACTCCCACCACCAGGCCGATGACCAACGGGACGTCCCAGCAGCTCTCAGCAGCCAATAGGCAGCGAGCGCGGGTCATCGTGCCGTTATTGGGCTGCGGCGGCACCGACAGCAGTTTGCACATCAGCGGGTAAATGTCCACGCTCTGTAAGCTGCTGATTCGATAACCCTGCCGGAAGCTGGGGCCCGACGCGGCCATGAAGGGGTGCATGCTGGGTAGGGAGTTGTCGTAGCCGTGATCGCCCACTGAGGGAAAAGGAAAGAGAGTTAGAGAAACTAAACATGAAGAAGCAGGGTTCAAAATCAGATGACCATTTTAGTTTTCACTTCATATAGCATCTTAAATTGTATTTAAATGTCCTTTAGTTTCCTTGTGTCAACACGGGCTATATAGATAAACTTGCCTCGCCTTTCAAAGCAAAAAATAAAACAGACATACATCTTGGTAGCTTGTCGCCTCGCAGCACTATGGTCCAGCCCTCGTCAGCGATCAATATGATTGGCTGGACGCGGTCATTGTTCCTGTAGTGCAGCCTATCAGGGATGTCGTGTTTCTTATAAGCTTTCATATGTTCGTGGCACTTATCCAGCAGTTTGAAGACGGCCTCTGGATCTGCAAAGCACAGAGGAAGGGAATTAGTGTGAGCAAATATCTCTAGAATAACATTTCTAATGATCAAATCTATTGTCAGAAGAGCGTTCATGTTTAAAGCCCCAACCGACTGGAATACTTGACCTGCTACTATCAGATCCCTTGCATCATTGGGTAGGTTTCAGCATTGTTATTGATACAACTGATCTATTAGACACTACTGTCTATCAAATTGTAATGATTGGATGTATTAATTTTACTTAACCTGTCCTTGTTTGTCATGCTTTGCTTTCTGTTATTTTGTTCATGTCTGTCTGTAAGACGTTGCTTTTGTCGGAACCCCCTTGAAAACCAGATGGTGCATCTCAAGGGGTTTATCCTAATAAATACATTTCTATATATATATAGCAGACGTGAACTTGGCTACCTTTCAGTGGGATGATGGCTGTGACAGGAGAGAGGTCCACCAGTGTGTAGTTGTCGGGGTGGAGGCAGTTGTCCAGCTGTATGAGGCGCTGAGCCGAGCACTGCGTCATGCCGTGGTCACTGGTTATCAGGATGTTGACGTGACCCCAGAGCCCGGTTGTCTTCAGCTCAGAAATCAGCAGGCCAATGTTGTCGTCAACCTGATCGCACACACAAAGACACGTCAATAACTGTCTCCATCTCGTGCTAATCTGAAGGGAAAGGAGATCTGTGCAAATCTGATTAACACTCAAGTGTGCCGAGTCACTGTAAGGTCATTGGTCGTCAACCTGATCGCACATAAAGATTGAAGGCTTTTATTGTCATTCGTACATAGCTACAGATATGTCAATGAAAAACTTAAATCACAGGCTCCATATTTTGTGGTATCTTCATCACTATATGTTACAAACACCTGCTGCATCCATCAAGCTTCTCTAATTCAATAGATCTCATAAGATTTCAGGAACCTTTTGTGTCAGAATCAAGTGAGCTTCTTTGAAATATTGAGTGTGTCCCAATGACTGTACCTCCTTCAGGACTTGGCTCATGGCGGTGTCGTTGTCAGGGCCGAAGATGTGACCCGAGCGGTCCGGTTCTTCCCAGTAGAGCGCTGCAAACATCACTCCTTTCTCCTGAGGGAATTTGGTTTAAGGTAAAGCAAGTAAGACGATGGATAATAACCCTTCCAGACGACACACATTGAACTGCATTGAAAATGTTATAAATTACACTAATCAGTGAGTTTGATAAAAAAAAACGTTCCTACCTTTTCGTCCCCTAACATCCACTTTGTCACGTTCCCCACTCGCTGCTTGAACGTCACATGAGAGTTGTAGGGAAGGAAGTGTGTCGCTGTGCGGTTTCCAATAGTCACTTCGGAGCCGGGCCACATCATGGCCCCCGTCTTGTATCCGGAGTCCAGTGCTGAGATCCAGAGGGGCCGAGCCTCGTTCCACCACATGGGGTTGGAGTCGTTGTTGATGTGGAAGTGCTTGTGGCTGACGGGGTCGTACATGTTACTGGCCAGGATACCGTGAGACTCAGCGTACAGCCCTGTCACCTGGAGAGGAAAACAAAGACCATTACTATTGCTTTTGTTATGATCCTATAATTCACTGTTGTTGGGAAAATAGTGAATGTACTCTTCCAATGTCAGAGTACACCTGATAACAAAGGTATCCCAACTGTAGCTGTGCACATGACAGGATGTATGATTACCTAGAAGAGCATCAGGACTGTTTGAGGCATATGATAGCTATGTGATTAACATGATGATTCAGCCTCTATGGAGATAGACATATGACAAGCATGATCATTTCTGACGTGGAGCTAATCTGAAGTAAACATTGAATACTGCTTTCTATTCCTCCATCTTGTGACTGTGTAACTCCCTCTCTTGGATATCAGCATGTGAAGGACACTGTTCAGGAACTAGTTGATGCTCTGTATGTGATGACTACTTCCATTCTGGAGAGGATCAGAAACACATGGATCAAGCCGGTGACGAGTGAGACAACTGTTATGCTATTTTATTTGTATTTAATTTACTATGTCATATTAAAGTCTTTCTTATAATTGGTTTAAATGTTTACTTGATTGATAAAAAGCACATATGACAGTGCATCTTTATCACACTCTCTGACAGATAATCTTCACGACACAAAAACAGCAGCGGGGTTACCAGGCTGTAGTGATTGGGGAAGGTCTTGGTGATGAAGACGTTGGTGAGCTGCTCCACCAGGATCCCTTGGCTGTACAGGAGCTTCAGGTTGGGCATGGGGAACCTCCGCAGGTAGTCCGCTCTGAAACCATCGAAAGACACCAGCAGCAGCTGAGGAGGACTCCGCTGCTCCGTGATGTTCTCTGTGGCGAAGGCTCCGACACAGCACAGGACGCCCAGAAGTATTTTTAGTAACATCCTGAAAAGAAGTACGAGAAAATAGTTATTTCAACTAGACATGGCGTGTTGACGATTTGTGTGAAGGTTTCTAGCAGAAAGTGGGATGTAATCCTGTTTGGATGCAGTTACAAAATGAATACATGGGATAGGCATTTGTTTTTTAATCTGCAATGGAATTGGGAAGGGACATAAGAGGAAATCCTGTTCCTTGTCACCTTCCACCCTGAAGCCATGCTGCCAAATGCTTAATAGGTCACCAATAAGATCTGTAACTGAATGGGCTCTGTCAATAAATACAAGATGTGGACTTCACATCGCTCAACTGTCTTCAAGGACTCACTGGATCTTGCTTTCAGGGTAAAGCAGCACAAAAATGTAGATATAAGTGGCTACGGTTTACTTCCTGATTGTTGGCATCCTACTTCACGATGTGTTGTGGAAGTGAGTTGTTTAGTATAGTCCAAAATAGGTCATATGTGCGTAGAGGAGGAACTGGTTCAAACAGGTGCTCGTCGTTGAGTGTGTGAGGAGGAGGATGTGTGTTTTATGGGCTTCATAGAAAAGTGCGGTTTTACTAGTTTCAGTTGTCTGTGTGTTTTTCAAAACGGAGTGGAAACAACCTCTGCCACGCTTCTTGTACAAGATCAACACAATTTTCTTATTTACTTTGTGAATTCAGGGAGTGAAGTAATTCTGTAAGCAAAGACTTCACCCTTTCAGATCAAAGATCCATGAAATTAGAGCAAATGCAAAAAAATGTGATTGACTCCAAGAGAGAGAGATTGACTCTGATAGTCTCTCTATTTGATTAAGCACATTTGAGACTTTGGTCTGTCACTTCTGGTTCAAAGTGAGGAACAAGTCAATTGAATAAGACGCACAAGAAAAGCTGTTATCTTGTCTTATGTGTCTGTTGCATGTTAATGGGTTTTAAAAAAGGGCTTTAAAACTGTGCACTTCACATGTGTTTTTCTTTGCTTATATGCTCTCTTTTAATGCCAACAACCTGCAGATGGAAATGAGCGTCTATGGCTAAATCTGGCACATTTAGACGATGCACTCGTGTTAATTAATGAGCATTGTCCCTTCTTAAATAACCAAATACAAAACTAATATTTATTTCTTATTCTGAGTTTTGTACTAACTTAATTAGTCGCCTCAATGCATTTGACAAGTCGAGGAGTCAACTCATACGTTGGTAAACCTGCATTCAAAGTAAAAGTACTCCTTGTGCGTAATGGCCCATTTCAGAACGACATATATTGAGTTACTATTATCATTATTTATGTATTGGATATCTTAACCTATAAATATATGTCGAAGTGTATTTAATAATTAAGTTAGACTTTGTGTAAGCTAATTTTCTGAAGCTAAAAAGTGACTAGTTACAAAAAGCTGTCAAATGTATTAAGTGGAGTAAAAAGTACAATATTGGCTTCTTAAATGTGGTGGAGTAAAAGTACAGGTTAGCTTAAACTAAGAATACTCGGGTTGAGTACAAGTACCTCAACATTGTGCTTGAGTTTAATATTTGAATACATATACATTTCCAACACTGTAAATAACCACAACCAGGAAGTCCCCTTTGTTGATAAAAAGTACAGAAGAAATACCCCTTATAATAATAATAATAATAATAAATACTTAAGAAAATGTACAGGTGAGAAAATAATTAGTGAATTGAATACAGAATGTAAATTGTATTATTAGCAAAGACATGGTTAGCCTCTGGTATCGCATCATATAATGTAAATATCTACATTTACATACGTTAGCATTTTAACATCGTAGGCTACACACAAAAAAAAGATAGCAGCGTGTTTAATAGTCTTACCTGTCACAGGATGTACGGGCTCTTGTCCTCCACACAGTATGGTTCAATAACTTTCGCTTTCTGGTCTATTTTGGCAGCAACATTACTGGACTTCCCCAAAAATACATGCTAACTGTTAGCTAAAAAGTATTTCCACCATGTCACAACAACACATTTCAAAATAAATTCTTCCCTAAAACGCCTTGTAAAATAATGACTATTTCTCATTTATAGTTACAATTTACAATACATGGTAACTCAATTGATATTTTCTGAGCAATTTAAACCCATTTATGTATAAATATATTTGGATTTAATCTATTAAAAAAAGTCAAGGCTTTTGTTTTGAAGTACTAACTGCATACCTTTGCTCTTGTCGTTGCCAGCTTGACGTAACCGTTAACGGACGCTTTAGCAAGATTGACAGTTAAAGCAGCGAATCAGCGATCAGAGATCAGAATCGGGGGCGGGACATGATTGAGCGATTTGCTTGTTGTTGGATGCACGCAGGATGTGGTTGCATGGAAAGTTAGACTAGAGGCTGTTGTACTTTTATGCATAACTGTAAGGATTAATATCATGGATGAATAATAAGAACTTAAAGATGAATATACATTAAACAAATTAGTTGTCACTTTGCCGCTTGGACGTAACAATAAACGCACCTGCATTCAAATCAGCCCAATTAGCTAGGCATTAGTAGTAGAGCACGATCTGCCAGAAATGATCACACTCCTGTAACCAGGGTTCGAGTTATAAACTGAGCTCTATGGGGGTCTTTGAAACTAACGCACACACACACACACACACACACACACACACACACACACACACACACACACACACACACACACACACACACACACACAATAAACATATGGACAGGGGTTACTATTTAAAAAAAATTGCAAATGTATTTGGGAACCTATCCATGTGAACATATTTTGGGAGTGGACCTCAAATCCTCTAGGGGGGTCCGGGGGCATGCCCCCCCTGGTAAGATATTTTTTTAATTTTGGAGTTAAATGCATCAATCTGGTGCATTTTGAGGGGAAAATAAAGAGACTAGATCTATGGAAACACCCATATGAAACAGATGCCACATCATAGACAGACAGTCACCCTGTGTGAGGCAAACCCACATTTGCGCAGCGTTGCGTTCACAATAGCCTACATTAAGGCCATCGGGAAACCTCCCGGCCCTCCCGATGGCCAGTCTGGGCCTGCCAGCAGCCCTCTACTCGCTACAAACTTAAATATGAAAACATAGCCGTGGGAACATGTTTCAAATGGGGGGTACTGTGGGGATGACACCAGGGCCGGTTCTGACCAATTTGCTGCCCGAGGCAAGATTTTTGCTGGTTCATTTATATCTTATTTTATCAGTTAACATTTATTTATTCATCCATATTTTTTAATCTCTCCAGTTTTAAAGGATATTGTTGGTTTACTGTCCTATAGTATACATGTGCCAAGAGCAAGGACTGTCTTAGGTAAGACAGCTTTTATGTGCGCAGCTCCACTTGCTTGGAACAATCTTCAGCAATAATTGAAACTGAGCAATCTCATTCCTCTGCATGTTTTTAAAGCTAGGCTAAATGAAATGCTCGTTGATACTATGGGTACTTGTAAATGTCTATAACTATGTAAATGTATCCTGTAAATATAATGTATGATGTCCTTTATTGTTTTATGTTTCATGTGGAACCTATATGCTGCAGGTCTCCCTTGAAAAAGAGATCTATGATCTCAATGGGACCAATCTGGTTAAATAAAGGTTTGAAATGAAATGAAATGACATTGGAATGATTTCAAACCTGTTTTTATTGATCCTAATAATTATAAAGGTGTGCCTTGGAAATATTTGTTTACATAAATTGTGATAAAACCGTTTGAGACACACTGAGATAACTTAGACTAAAGTGAACTATCTAAACAGTCCTTTACCTCACTGAGCCTCTCAGGGCAAATGGAAAATGTAACCGGGGTGAAAAGGGTGTTATCTTTACTTAATTATGAATGTGAACAGTTGTATCAACAGCTTTTACAATGTGCTGCTGACTGCTGGAAAGTGGTTTTACTTTAATGTATTTGTTTCGTCCATTGTGCTAATGCAGGTGGGGCCGACCAGTTATACAAGAGGTAGATAATAGCTGTACTTTTTTTTAATGAGCCACATGCCATGATGCACCAACATAATTGTATTATTTAGACTGACATTAAGAAGTTGAATCAACTCATTACAGGGCGAGAGAGTGAGAGAGAGAGAGAGAGAGAGAGAGAGAGGAGAGAGAGGAGAGAGAGAGAGAGAGTGAGAGAGAGAGAGAGAGAGAGAGAGAGAGAGAGAGAGAGAGAGAGAGAGAGAGAGAGAGAGAGTAAGAGAGAGAGAGAGAGAGAGAGAGAGAGAGAGAGAGAGAGATCAGACAAAGTGATATGAGTGATAGTGAAACGTTTTAACTTTCATTTAGCAAAACATAGCGTGAAACTTTACATGCAAGTTTCAAAGTAACTTCCTGAAATGTAATTGTCTGCGGTGATTCTACGGAGTCCCCAAAGGCCCAAAAGTGTGCACACAAAACATATTTTCGGCTGCCCGGGCATAAATCTCTGTTAGTTTAAACTCCCACTTCACTACTTTACATTCAAAACAAATAGCTTATAAAATGTGGCACGGCATTATTGATAAAGCTACATATTAGTCTATAAAATAGTTACATCATACTTATCTTAACCAGCAACACCAATAAAATACTGCTTCACATAAATGCATCGCAAATAATCATCAGTTTGTATTCAATGCATATAGAGGCAACTGAACCACACATCAACATTTCATCCATGCATTTCTTCACTTGTCAGTAGTTGTTCAAGCTCTCAAACAAACAAGCGGGCAGTACATCACATTGGCTCTTTTTGCTGCTACTTTGACAACATGGTTGCAACCGGTTTTGTTTTCGTGCTGTTGATGCCAATTTTCATTTTTTTATATAGTGAGTTGATGATTTCATAAACTAAGAGTGAGGTATATTTTCGCCTCGCAAATTTTCCATCCAAATGAAGCAACATTTCTAAATCATTTTCAGACAAATTTGACTACACATGTTAGTGTTGTTAGATCTTATTGTCTTATATTTGTGTACAGCACTTTGAATTGCTTTGTGTTGAAAGGTGCTATATAAATAAACTTGCCTCGCCTTGCCTATGATGACTCACAATCTACTAGGATTAATAAATGTCCAAAGTGTCTATTACGTTAGTAGGAAATCCAACCTAGAGCAATTGAGCATTGGAATAGAACATGTTGTTCCATACGGCCCAATGAGAACAAACACGAGGCAGAATCTAAACAGGAAAGTGTAAAAACATGTTGAATCATTAAACATCTGATAGAACAAGAACAAGACACACCTAGTTTTTGTTTTTCTAAAAACAAAACAATGAGGTAGATACTAGCTGTCATTTTTTTTAAGGAGGGGCAGTTTGGGCGTATTGTTGTACATAGCCGCGGGAACATGTTTCGAATGGGGTGTGCTGTGGGGATGACACCAGGGTTGCGTTCGAATACTCCAAAAAAACAGCTCCTAAATTCTAACCCTATCGTCTATTCCTTGACCTCGGAGTGAAACGTCATGGGGTTAAGGGATAGTGGATAGGAGAATTCAAAAGGATTTAGGAGAAGAGACTGCGGCACTTTAGAGAATCCGACTGCACTTTCACTATCCGACGTGTTTATGATGCGCCAGCAGAGGTCATAAATGTGCGCCTGCTGCTGTGGGGAAACTATGGAAACTACAGTTTTCTATACAGCGGACTACAACATGGATGTTTAATAAGAACGAGGGACTACTGTAAACTCATCTAGAGACTCTGCACCGTGCTCTGATGCTGTTGTTTTATGCTTTATGAACGGGGACAACAGAGAAACATATTCTTCATGACCAAAGTTGGAATTGAAATAAAAAAGGAAAGTGAAACTTATGCTCGTCACCCTCTCCCTCCGGTCCACATTAATACAAATGATCCCAATACGTATGATTGTATGAAAAGATCTTAAAATCAATACAAATGTATTTATTATAACGGTTAGTCCTTAACATCTATCACTGTGTATATCACCATTCAAACATCTTTTAAAAGTTGAACAAACCCCACACAGCTCAGTAAAGACTGTGAAATGTTGACTTTATTTGATCATTTCAGTAAAAACTAACGTTCATATTTCTCTTTTTGATTATAATACTGATGAACGTTCAAAACAAAGCACTTTGGCAACTTACCACATACGTTTTAAAAATGCTTAATAAGCACCGTAACTTTCATGATATCATTTCTCGTTCATAATCGGTTGTTTCCGTGAACGGCCGACTGTTGTGTGACGGCAAATGCTGCGGCCGCAAGGCATTGTGGGGCAGCATTTTCTCCTCTCCTTTCGGTTAGGGAGGTCCAGTGGTTCCTAAGCTAAAGGAGGTTATAAAGGAAGTTTGAAACCTCCTTTCCTTTTAATTTAGAGAATTCGAACGGCACTTATCATGGCTGCCACTGAGGGACTTCCGGGTCATTTCACTCCGTTAGGAAGGTTCCTAAGCTAAATGGACTATTCGAATGCAACCCAGGGCCGGTTCTGACCAATTTGCTGCCCTCGGCAAGATTTTTGCTGGTTCATTTATATCTTACTTTACCAGTTAACATGTATTTATCCATATTTTTTAATCTCTCCAGTTTTAAAGGATATTGTTGGTTTACTGTTGTTAGAAATTAAAATCAATGTTAAACAGCATAATTCAGTCTAAAACATATCGTCAGTTTAAAGCTGTTTTATTGTGGAAAAGCCCGGAAGTTCTCAGGAAATCAATGCCAAGCTTTTATTTTGAAAAATCCTTTATCCGGTTAGCTTGTGACTAATGTTGCGTTTTCTGAATGTAAAGTGAAAATGACTTGGAGTGTTTACAGATACGTGAGAAGCTATGACGTCGGAGGGAATTTCCGTAAAATAAGAACTGTGCCGGAGCGGAACCACTAGGACTTCTAAACTAAGTATTACAGCTGTTTATAAGGTATTAAATAGAAAGTCATGACAGAGATAATGAGGAGAAAATGCTTAAGGAAGTAGGCAGAGAATATCAATGTCGAAATCATCTGTGCTCTCGCGATATCGAACCGGCAAATGAGTAGGGGGCCACCCACTATTTGCACAGCGGGGGACAACGAGACGTGGATAAAAAGGCAGGACGAAAGATAACTCAGTCTCTTCCCTTCGCTGCAGCCTCCCTCAAGACAACACCGGCTTTGTCTCTCCATTCACCATGCTTGTTCTTTAACCACGTTACTTAATTAAACTACCCATTTGAACCTTTTCAGAGACTCCATTAGTCTCGTTATTTTAAGTTTCTTTCCTGGGAGCGAGAAGATCACAAATTATCAACACTGTCCTATAGTATACATTGGAATGATTTCAAACCTGTTTTTATTTATCCTAATAATTATAAAGGTGTGCCTTGGAAATATTTGTTTACATAAATTGTGATAAAACCGTTTGAGACACACTGTGATAACTTAGACTAAAGTGAACTATCTAAACACTCAGAGTCCTTTACCTCACTGAGCCTCTCAGGGCACATGGAAAATGTAACCGGGGTGAAAAGGGTGTTATCTTTACTTAATTATGAATGTGAACATCAAGGCCGAAACATTTTTTTTTTTGTATTATATTTGTATTATATTTCCATTTAATCTTGTGGACGTGCAGATTCCCTGTCCTCCATCAGGGGGTGCTGCAAGCACCCTCAGCACCCCTACTTACCACGGCCCTGTATGAAAAGGTTCAACTACGCACGCACACATGATCTCGGCTCGCGCAGCACGCTCACAGGCATAGATTGTGCAAGAGGTGCAGTGCAGGCATATTGTTATTCAAGAGATGCGTTGTTCTTTTGGAAAACATGTTTTTCTTTTCAATAATACTCATTACATTGACACATGCATTATTTGTGATTAAAATAATGGTTGTTGGTAATGTATTAGCGACCCCCACAGATGTATGATTTCACTGCGTCCGTGGGAGCTCAGACCCCTCCTTATGGGAGCTCAGCTCCCATTGGCTCCCACATAACTCGAACCCTGCCTGTAACCCTATATTAGATATATTTAATAATGTGTGTACTGTTTTATTCTCAACTTTTATTTATTTATACATTCATTTATTTATTTATTATTTTATTTATTTCTGTATTTATTTTCTCATTTATTCATTATTTTATTTATTTATTTTCGTATTTCCGTATTTATTTATTTATTCATAGTTATGTATGAATTTTTTTATTTATACTTACGTCACGTTCCGTCCTCCATAAATAAAGTCACATTACCTTATAAGAATTGAACTCATAACCTTAAAGCTTACATCGAGGCCTTAAAGACACATTTTTGGCATATTTGATTTCATAATTTTGGATTATAATAATATAATAATACATTTGATTTATATAGCACACTTTAAAAACAACGTCATCTCAAGGTGCTTCACAAAGCTATAAGGAACAATAAGTAAAATTGTTGGCTTTAAAATAATCCCTGTACAACCTTGTGTCCGTTCAGAAGTAGATTAAACATTAGCGTAAACCAAATTGCATGAGAAAAAAACCACACATTTTGAAAGTGAAAACTGCTTTTATTCAGTGTTTTTAAAAGGATTATCCCTGTGTTTGTTTCAGAATGGAGGTAATGTGTCCATGTATGTGGGCGGCTGTGGCGCAGTGGATAGTGTGTTGGTGTTCGGATCAGGGGAGCACAGGTTCAAACCCCACTGCAGTCAGCATGTCGTTGTGTCCCTGAGACACTTCACCCCAAATTGCTCCTGTGGGGATTGCCCACAGTATCGAGTATGTAAGTTGCTTTGGATAAAAGCGTCTAACAAGTAACATGTAATGCTGTGATGCTGTGATGTGAAAACAAATATCAAACCAGAGTCCGAGCCTTTTGTCACAGAAAAAAGGTTTATTTAAAAATAAAGTTATATCCCTCTTACTCGTCAAAACAAAAAAATGTGTCATTGAATTATTCTCCGTTCGCTGCTTGAACCACAATCATCACAGATTCATAAACAAAGATTGATAAATGTCCGTTTGACTTGACGTAGCATGTTTGTTTGTTTGTTTACAATGGAGACATTCAATGCCGAGGTTAACAAAGACAGATATGGTGAAGAAACCAGTTTGTTCTCATTGATAATCTGATCAATAACAGCATGCTTTGACTAACAGAAAGTAAATAAGGCTGCAACAACAAACGTGTACCCGGCTTTTCTTGCTTTTTTTCTTGTAAAAATAACTAAAACCATTGATTTCAACTCATAGTATGTACTGAATTCAACCATCCTTACTCTGCTTATATTCTCTTATTGTCAGCAAACCCACAGACAGAGCTGGTTTTGGGCCATAACATGGATTTGTTGACAGTAAATAAAGTATATATTAAGCTTTATCCTGTAAATGAAAGGATAACATCACTGTTGTTATCTGAAGGAAGTCACGTGCATAAAGTAATCAGTTTATGATGAAACACTTGCTGCAGTAATCTGATTACTCACTAGTTTACGCATGGTCATGTAGGAAAATGATACATTAAATAGGAAAAAGGGAATCCAACAGATGTGTTTCAAATAACTGTCATGTCATCTGATTACTGTCAAACATGTCAATCCACTGATAGGCTTGAATGTTTTCTAAGCTTAATAAACACTGGTGTTATTTACTTTTCCAGCAACTAACTAATCACAAGGTTTGGGCTGATTCAATTCGGTGATTTTACCAGTAATATATTAAGATTAGATACAAAATAATTCAAAGTGAACAAGAAAAGTGATTCAGGAGAAAGAAAATCTGTGGAGATGTGGGACTGAAGGCTGCGTCACGAGTGTGTGTGTGTTTTCTTTTTCTGACAGCCGCTGATCATCAAACAGAAACTGAAGCATGAAAAGGCACGTCATGTTCTTTGAAAAGTTGGCGGCAGATCACTGACCTGTTTATAAAAGTAAAAAAAAACAGAAGTGGATTCAGTCCGAGCGCACACAGACTGAATCCACTCGTGTGCAAACAAGAAAAACTGAGATTGGAAATCAAAGCACAAATTGTGTGAGGCTGCCGTCACGATACAACCAGGAGCGTTTGTCCACTGCAGGCCAGCTTAATGCACATTAACACACATACTTGCTAAATCGCAGTAAGTGCAATACTCTGTAAAGTCAAACCATTTGAAAATATCTGATTGTAGTTTTATGGTTTTGCAAAAAAGTCCTGGTTTTAAACAGACTTAATAAAAAGTCCTCGTTTGGTTCAGATCCTAATATATATATCGCAATATCCCCCAAAATGATAGTAATTTGTTTTTTTCAGCCCTATTTTAGACTTGGATTTAAAACCAACCCTAATGCAAGTTTTTAGAACACTTTAAGGAATAAAATATCATTAACATTTTCTTTAAAACACACAAAATCAATGATGAAATAACCAGCCTCATCGACAAGCTTGTTGAATTTGTATTTGTATAGAAAATGTAAAAGAAATATCCCATATCTTAGAATTGAGTTTTAAATCTGAGCAGCAGCGGACAAAGCCCCCCTCGTCTCGAACATAGACTTGCAGATAAGCAAGCTTTACTTTTAAATTACTCTCCATAAATAAAAAACTATAAAAAGAAAAAAGAACGTCACCGACCTCCTATAAATAAAAAAAACTGAGATTTCCAGCAAAACACAGCGATAAAGATCTGTATACAAAATAAATAAAAAAGCAAACCCATATGAACAATATACAGTGTTACTAATATCTCGCTAAACCTCTGCCAATAGACTACCGTAGTGCATATGTTTCCATTCACCACAACAACTACCAATTTGGACTTTTATCTTAATTTTTTCTTCGCAAATCTGCACAAGGCGAATTGGGATCCTAGCGAACAGAAACGAGGAGATGCGAGGTTTTTTGCGTTGGCGTGTTTTTGATTTCACAGGAAGATGGAGATGAGCGTGGCTCTGCTGTTGCACATTCAGACACTGACAGATTCCTCTGCAAGTTGTGGAGTGTTTGTTAAACATTTGGTTGATTCCTCATCTACGACTAAACACCATAAACACGTCAGCTTCCGCTCTAGAGAATCCTCATCCCTCGGTGTGTGTGTGTGTGTGTGTGTAGTACCGCATGATGTGCTGAAATATTACTGGCCTCTTAGAAGCACACACACACTTTTAAATAAAACGATATCCTTTAAAACAAGTGTGCAAATTAAATGAGAGACTATTCAAATCGAGGGGGCGACCGCGCCTGTGTCAGACCCTCGGGCTGGGCGATACATCCACATTTTATTGAGATAAATACCAACTATTGTCTTATATTTTGGGTGTTGTCTTTTCCTGGTTTTAAAGGCTAAGATGATGCACATTTGTGAATTGACCCCACTGTTGAGGCTGTTGTATTATTTACCTAGTCATTCATTCTGTGAAAGCCACCCTACAATATTGTCGCCCAGCCCTAGCTGACACACACGTTCCTGTCTATAAAGGGACTTCTTTTCAGTCTTGGGGTATGCGTAAGGAAATAAAACCTCCAGGATAAAAATCTAGATATCTACAATAAATCACGTTTTTATCCAGAAGAGGTTACAGTGTAAAACTGGTTCTTCTTTAGCCGCCGTCTGTTAGCCTCCCCATGTCAGTGTGTGTGTGTGTAAATGTGTGTGTGTGGAGGGGATTTGGGCCTTCAGGCATGCTGTCCAGTGCAAACCTACCTAAAGAGTAAAGAGTTTGGGGGGTTTATGGAGGGGTTGGAGCGTCCTCGCTGCAGACAGACAGGCAGCTGTCTCTGATATGTGCCGTCTGCAGAGGAGCAGTAATAAAACTCCCTTTCTTGATTCAAGTATTTTCACAGCGCCTCCTCCAGGACTCGGGGAATCGGCTGCTTCGCTCCCAGCAGCGCGGGAAACAATAAATATGATGAATGCTCAGTTAGCTTCCCACAAAATAAAAGTCTGGTGTGTGTGTTTGATGGATGTTTGAAACACACACACTCACAAGCTGCCCCCTCTCCCCCTCCGTCAGAGTGTGTGTTGGTGCTATAGGCATGTTTTGCACAGCGCCACCTGGCCCTTCATGTAGTCGCGGCAGGGGCAGATGCGGTGCAGCGAGCTGTGAGCGCCGGCGCAGCTGAACAGCAACAGGTCGGACTGGAAGATGCAGTGACGCCGCTTCTTGCTGTACGCCGGGACCAACGTGTCCGCACTCGACTCCACCGTCTGACAGTCCAACCCGAACCTGAGGCACACGGCATCAAAAGTCAACTAAAGTACACGATTTATGCTCAATTATCACTTTAATACGTTTGAATTACACTCAAAATGTGTTAGTTTTGCATACAGCAAGTAGATGGATTGGCAGTGTGCATATATTCATATTGACATAATATAAATGTCTGTAAAATTTGAATAAGAAGAAGCTGAACACACACACAGACTCTCATACACACACGCATCAGTCATAAGCCTTGACCCATGTATTGCAGTGTAACAGCGCCCTCCAGTGGTTTCAACATGACACTGCTGCTTATTTAAACTCCTCTCTGGATTATATTCTGTGCATGAATTCAATCATGTGCATCAGGGTTTCAGACTTTTTTTATGACACTCAAAGGTAGTTCAAGACCAATTTTACGTGTGTGTGTGTGTGTCTGTGTGTGTGTGTCCCACCTGGCGAGGTCCGTGTCCTTGTTGAGGTGCTGGAAGAAGGAGGGCTCACAGATGAGCTGCTCCTCCTGACAGATCTGCTTACAGGATCGACCCGGCTCTGCCAGCTTCACCTGCAGCGCGCTGAGGGGGGGCCACATCACCTGGCCGTGGCAGAAGTCCTGAGAGACCACACAGAACATTGAATTATAACAAAAAAATCAATATATACAAGACATTCTAAGGCATTAAGCTACTTGACATACTGTGTGCTACTAATGTAAAGCGTCTTTGAGCACTGGGGAAAGCACTATAACAATTGAATGTATTATTATTATTTTAGTAGTCTTAGATTCTGTTATGCTTGTGTCCTCACCATGATCATGTGACATAAATCAGTTCTCAGTGTGTGTGTGAAGAGTACCTGGTTCTGGATGAAGGCGTTGACTCTCTGCAGCATCCCCTCACAGGTGAACTCATAGGGCAGGTAGGGTTCGATCTGAACACACAGAGAGAGAGAGAGGTGTGTGAGGAGTGAGTGACCGACCACACACACACACACACACACACACACACACACACACACACACACACACACACACACACACACACACACACACACACACACACACACACACACACACACACACACACACACACAACACACACACACACACACACACACACACACACACACACACACACACACACACACACACACACACACACACACACACACACACACACACACACACACACACACACACACACACACACACACACACACACACACACACACACACACACACACACACACACACACACACACACACACAACACACACACACACACACACACCCACACACACACACACACACACACACACACACACACACACACACACACACACACACACACACACACACACACACACACACACACACACACACACACACACACACACACACACACACACACACACACACACACACACACACACACCGGGTTCACTGTGTGTGTGAGCTGGTGAAATATCAGCCTCTCAACTGTGAGACCAATCGACTCTGATTTGAAACTTCAAACGGAGGCGAGCAACAACAGAATCTTTGTTGAAGTCACTCGCTGCTTTCTGTCTTTGTGTTTGGGGAGGAAGATGAGGAGGAGGAGGAGGAGGAGATGAAGAGGGGGGGGGTGTGATAGCCAAGCTGGAGCCTGGTAGGCTGCACAGCTCGCCACGGATCACAAAGCATATGAGGCTCTGCAGGCTTGTTTCGCTGAACAAAGCCATTGTCCCGACTCGCTCGGCGGAGCACAACACAACACGAGGTCCTGCGCCCGGAAAATAAATATGCATGGGCCGGGACGAGAAGACGGACCTCTTCTACCGTCCCTGCACCTTCACTCCAGTTTAGATCATAGTATAACAATATATGAAGCATTAACCGTCCTGAACTGGGAGGATGTGGAGATCTTATGTCACGAGGAAATGGACCAAACATTTACAATTCCCTGCACCTTCACTCATGTCCAGTTTAGATCATATTATAACAATATATGAAGCATTAGCAGTCGTACCTAGCTACAGCTTTCAAACTGGGAGGATGTTGAGATGTCATTTGTCACGAGGAAATGTGTCTTTTTCTTTGCTAACTAACTAGGAGAACATTAGCTCAGCTCCAGTGCAGAATATGTATATGTGTGTTAATAGTAATATGATAAAATACGTCTGGCTATGCACATTATGTTCAAGTACCCGTAACATAAAATATGTGTGATTATTTGACTAAAGTGTCATCATTTGTATGCCTTTTCCATTCTTGTTTACGCTACTATGACTTTGCATCAGAGCTGAAACCATTAGGTTGATTAATTGATTCATTAGTCAACAGAGAATTACTCTACAATGATTTATACGTTATTGTTTAAGCCATAAAGAAAATAATAATGTGCAATTACGTATCTGCCACTACGTTTTTTTTGGATAGAATTTGGATAAAAAAAAATACCTTCTGGCTGAGGATGGAGCGGATGGCGTTCTCCACCTCGACAGGGTTTTCGATATCCACCGTCCAGACGTGGGGCTGACCGACGTACACCTCAGCGTACGGATGTTGGGAGGTCAGCTGCAGACAGAAGAGTAGAGGGTCAGCAAATCAAACGCACCTTTAAAAAAAAAAACTCTTACTTTGACCAGATTTCAAATGTCATCCTCACCTCTCTCAGCGTGGGTTTGCCCTTGAAGAAGTCTGTGTTCTTGCTGCTCTTCGCAGGCGTGAATTTGGGGTTCAGGAAAGCGCAGCCGTTGGCGATGGCCTCCAGGGGGGCGGGACCCTCGTAGGGGAAGGAGAGACCCACAAACAACTGCAAGAAGAGGCAATACAAACACACTGATTAGCCTCCACATGCATGCTTTTTATGCAATAATACCACACTTTAAAAACACTCTGTTACTAGTGTCTTGCCAACATCTTAATTTTTTAAGTAGCTATTGACTAAAGCTGTAAGATAAATGTAGTCAAGTTGAAGGTACAGTCTGTTCCTTGGGATCACAGTACAGTGAGTGGCACTAAAAAAGAAACTACTCAAGTAAAATACCCTAACTTTGACACTTTTAAAAGCACATGTTCGACATTGAGGGCATGAAGGAGCTGTGGGAGTGACAGAATAATGAGAATAAGAAAAAATCTGCTTGGGGGGGAAGAAGGAAATTCACGAGGCGTTGCTGCTGTATGCTGATAGCAGCAGTTAACCCAAACCTCCCATGTTATCAGCACAAAATACAGCCGAGGCAGCAGGTTCTCAACATGAAACAAGGGAGGGAAAACAAAACGAACATGAAGACAGCACTCTGATGTTTGCTCCTGTTAAAAGTCAAGAGGAGATTGGTGACCGAGGACAGTTTGCAGATTAAAACACACCGTGAGAAGCCTGGTGAGAATTTGCAAAGATGTATACATATTGTCTAATTCAAACTAATATTTATACACCATGTGATATATTCCGAAATCTCTGACTATGCTGGATCTTTCCACCAACAACTTCAACAAGGAAGGGATTTGTATTTCTTGAAAGAAGGTGCTTTATTAGAGAGCAACCTAGACACACAGCATGGTCATAGTTTTAACTACAGGTAATATCTTAAAAAGGTTCCTGGAATGTCGTTTTTTATGTAGCCTTGAGCCTCACTTTAAAAAAAAACCTGGTCTGATGTCTTGGAGGACAAAACATGTCTGCAGTCATTTTATTATCCAGGGTTTAAGCTGACTAAATAAAGCAGACTGACACCAAGTCCTTCCCACATACTGTAAAGTCCACACTGTACATAAAGAGTACAAGAGGGGCTTTAATAACAGCTCTCTCCTCCTGGATGGGAAGAGCAAATATTTGCCAGGTTGTAGCAGCGAGCTGAAACATGTGAGACAGATTCAGAAACAGAGAGGAGAAGGAGGCTCTTTTACAGTAGGGCCAGCGCTACAATAGTGTGTTTGTATTGGCCCGTGTGTGTGTGTGTGTGTGTGTGTGTGTACACAATGACACAACACAATGTAGTGCTGTACCATGTCTGTCTGTCTGTATATGAACAATGAGCCCATGTGAAGAAAAACGATATCCACCACTTGGTGTTGAAATGAACGACTTCTTAATTGTATTTGTATATATTTAAGTGGCATTTATTTCCCCATGAATTACTGAATTATATCCAAGGGGTTCTGTAGCTTAAGGAAAGTTAAAAATAACACTGGAAATGTAATTCAAGACAGAGTATATATCAGTGTTAAGAAATACAGCTTTCTTAACCCATACTTCTACCAGCAGATGGCAGCAGAGCACACTTCTTCCTCTTTGACTGTGTGTGTGTGTGTGTGTGTGTGTGTGTGTGTGTGTGTGTGTGTGTGTGTATGCAAAAGTCTAGAAACAGTCACCAACTATTTATAGGAGTGAGGAGGGGAGGGGGTGAGACACAGAGACACAGAGACCCACAGAGAGCTGCTATGGTTGAGAGGAGAAATGAATGAAAGATGCCTGCATCTCATATGTGACTGTTGGAAAGAGAAATCAATAAGAAAGCTCCATATTAATGTGCATAAAGCAGCATGTATGTGCATATTTAGTGATTAGTGCTGCACATGGAGGACTTAGAGCTGCTGGTCTATTGAATCGTGGTCAAACGTCCTGCTAAATGCAAATGTATCCTGATCATGCAAGTGCTATAACTCGTTAATAATATGTTAAGCATGTCTTTGCATACAAAATAAAATCTGCACTGATGATTCTGTAGCAGATGAAGCAGATATCGACCACAGATGGAGAAGAGCTCCACCTAAAGAAACTGAATAACCCACAGAAAAGAAGTGAAGACTGGTGTCTCACGGTTCTGCCACATCCCCTAAAACATGGCGGTCGCTCAATTTAACGACCCAGAGAGATAATTAGCTTGTTTTTTTTTATAGTATTTCTACCTCCAGCACCTGCCACTGGGACGTGTTTCCTTGCAGAAAGTGATGACAACGTAAGAAGGAGGGAATACTGTATATGTGGTATTACAACCTGAAAGCTGTACTTGTCTAACATCTATATCGTGTCGACTAGAGGGTGTGCGGAAGAGGAGGAAAATAGGAAACACATGTTAGAGTCAGACAGTAGGAGGCACTTAAACAGGTAGAGCAGACAGACAAGAAGGAAAGCTTTGATTACACGTGAGACATGCTGCAGAGGTTTGATCATCAACACTATTCCCCTGATGCAGAACAGCATGTCAGGGTTTATTTCAGGAAAGGTAGCTTGAGAGAAAATCAAATGTCAGTCGGCAACAGCAACAGCGCTGTGTCTGGTTAGTAGTTACACCCCACAAGGCCAATTAAATCAGTGATTGCGGGTCAAATGTGTGGGTCAAAAATGTACACAAAAGCAACCTTTTTAGCTGGATTAAATGTGGGGTTTACTCTGGGATGGATCTGACCTGCCTCCATCAAGCAAATCCAAATGTACTCCATTGTTTGTGCAGCGCTTTCTGGCACCAATGTGAGTGTTGCTTCCTTTTGGTCTTTAGCACATTGCTTTCAACACTTTAATGATCCGCTCCGCTGCTAAACAGTGCCTCCAACATCATGTGTTTTGGTGTTCAGAGCAGAGATGGATGTGCCGGCCAAGAATCGTTTTTTTTTTATTTGGATGTTCAGAAGGTTTTTCGGCACAAAAAGAAAAGGCTCAAATCAATCCATGCCACTTTCTGAATCATGATCTCTCTTCTGCTCGGCTGATGGGAAGCCATCTGGTTTCAGAGGCTGCAGAAATCGAAGCTCTCTCTCCCTCTCTCTGAAAAGGATGCCGACTGCAGCCAAAACACAGACTCCACGTTTCAAGGCCAGCACTAATGATGGTTTTCACCTTCAGCTGACATTGCTGCCAGGTCCTTTTAATTCCAATCCTCTAAAGTAGTAACATACCGTTTCTCCAAGGCTAAGGAGCACATCACTAACTAGTTTGTAGGGTTATACATTAGTGGTTCAAAACTGTGTATTACATTTTGGAAGTAGGTCTTTGATGGTTGCAGATTGTATCTTAAGTTTGCATCTCTGTCTTAATTTTAATTGGATGGGTAAAGCTAATTTAATACCAAGTCTAACTGTCTCTACACTGCGACACAATAACAATATCTTCTATGTATATCATCGAGTGGTGAGAAAACTGCAGCTTCAGCCACCTTGCTTTAAAATGAAAGTGCATCAGTCTGATACCATACGGAGCTTATGTGAGTTTTCCTAGCTACTACAGTGAATCAAATTCGCTCAATTATCTCTTCACTCCAAAAAAGTAATGGGCCATTCGTCGTTGTTTTTGTTGTTGCTGTTTCCCAGGAATGCATCAACTGATCCTTGAATTATTGATCACTACACACATTTGCATTTCTTGTTTTGCTTCTGCTGTTACTCTTCTGTATCATGTATGCATTTGATTTATAGCACACAGAGAGAGAACGTCTTACATCAGTGCTGCCACAAAACAAAGCTGTTTGTGTTAAACAAAACACATTGTGTGAACATGTAAAGTGTGTGTCCTTGTTCTCTGAGAATGAGAGAGTGGTTTGAGTGAGTGGTGGGAAGAGGAGACAAGTCATGACGTGAATGGAGAAGTGCTTCTGTGGACAGACTCAGACACACTGCAGCTACTCAAGAGAGCCTCTCTTCATGTAAAGACTCTCTTATGTCCAAACAACATGACTTACTTTCTACTAGATCACAGTTTCTTGGTCGTTTAAAAAAAATGGCCAAAGGGAAGAGCGTGGGGGTTGGTTTGTGGCTTTCAGATCCGGGTAAGAACCCCCATTATTTCACTGAAGGGTCTTTTTTTATTTACAGTTAAGGGTGGGGGACTCACCTTAGATTCCCGGAGGAGGAACTGCAGGTCTCGGCCGCTCAGGATGCCGTGGTTCTTGACGTAGCTGGGCAGGTGCACGGTGCTGGTGCCGTGCACGGTGCCGTGGACCTCCATGTAGCTGTGGATGTTGTCCAGGTATTTCTTTTTATCCTGGAACAAACAGATAAATAAACGTTAGAGGTCAAACTCCACCTACACCAAGAACATGGGTAGTTCTCTTTTCAATACAAGACATTGCCAGTATAGATCATTAAATAAAAGATGCAAGCAGTTCAACAAAAGAAGGACGTATCGGGGTAATATACGCTTTCCATTTCTCCCAAATGTCCTCAAATGTAAGTTCCTGGAGCCTCATAGAGACGGTTATTCTTTGCATTACAAAGATTTCATAAATGATATCGTACCAATCATCTATAGATGGGCTGTTTGGTTTGAGACACTTCTTTGTGATTGCTTTCCTGGCAGCTACACTCAACATCCCAAAGAACCATTTTGTTTTAATATGTGTGGATGTTGAGTGCTGAAAACAGAAGAACAGTTCGTGCCGATTAAAATACATTTTTGTTCCAAATATGATGACAATTTCTTTATAACCCTTACTGTATGCCAACAAGTATTTACTATCTGTAGAAGCTTTTAAAAAAACAACTGAAGACCTATCTTTTTACATTGGCTTTTGTTTCTACTTGAGATGTGTGTGTGTGTGTGTGTGTGTGTGTGTGTGTGTGTGTGTGTGTGTGTGTGTGTGTGTGTGTGTGTGTGTGTGTGTGTGTGTGTGTGTGTGTGTGTGTGTGTGTGTGTGTGTGTGTGTGTGTGTGTTGCTTTCAGGACTCCACGTGGTCTGTGTTTTGCTTTGATGTTAACCTTAACATGTTGTTATTGTATTCATGTTTCTGTGGTCTTAATTCTAACTTTAGTTATTTCTGTGAAAGCTTATTTAGATTAAGTTGGTCCCTGGATTCCTGGATGAATTCATATCTAATAAATCAGAGGCTGAGGATCATTACTTTGTTGTTTGGCCTGATGAACTTTTGTCCGAGCTACCTGAGCGACCATCTGGCCACAAAGGCAGGCAGAGCTATAAATAGATCTGTATGAGGAGCATCATTGAGCACAATACCCTGCTTTAATACCAAATCCAACATGTCCTTGATCAAAAACACAATCAAGTATTCAAAGCATGCTAAGAAAAAGCCACTTCCAACAGACAAGAATGCTACCAGACTGACTTGACAAGGTCAATTGTGATAATACATAGATTTGCTCAAACAATTATATTTTCTCTCTGCCTAAGAGTGCTTTTCATCTCCATCTCCATCCCAAGGATTGCGCATAATAGCGTGGACACAAACAGATATAATTGCATGCGTTGGAGGTAAACAAACACTTATATTGTTAAAATGTGATAATGAAGGATCCTAAAATAGTTGATTAGCTTATCCAACAGCTTCTTGTCTTGGCCTATGATGTGTTTACTCTCTTTTTAGTGTCTTGGCAATAGCCGTCGTGGATTTGAAAGCCCCAAAAGAGCTTCTATTTTTGAAAATAAGTCAAGTTAATCACTTTGAATGTAGACATAACTCCCATAATAAAAGTCATTTGATGGCCCCCACACTGAGATTGCAACAGCAGGACTTTGATTTTCAATAACGACGGGCTTGAGTTATGTAAAACCGTGCCAAATATGCATAAATATTCCCGCGTGTCACGCTTAAACATGTTTGGCTTCGTCTTATAGCTGCTACAGACTTCATATGGAAGAAGCGTACAGTGCAGTCAAACCCTTTCAAAGCCCAATCCTTCAGGGAGGCATGGAGATGAAAGCTGGCCATTTTCTCCATAATGACAGAAAGCCTGGAAGCATGTTCACACACACTCTCACATACCGGAATATTATTGATTTCCTATAGTTTCAACACTCGTGGGCACCGTGGCTATTACTGCTAAAGGCTACCTGTTTCAAATTCACACACAACTCCTACACACAAGCCTGCCTTTGAAACTGTTCTTCCTCCAGGACATGACCCTGCACTCTGTCTCTCTCTGTGTGTGTGTGTGTGTGTGTGTGTGTGTGTGTGTGTGTGTGTGTGTGTGTGTGTGTGTGTGTGTCTCTACTTCAGTGCTTCTTTTTGGGCTTAAATTTCAGGTAGCCGCTCGTCAGGGTCCCTGGTGGCCCGGCTATCAGATGCCTCCAGCCAGCCTGCTGTAACTAAAGCAGCCTGGTGTCTTGTGTGTGTGTGTGTGTGTGTGTGTGTGTGTGTGTGTGTGTGTGTGTGTGTGTGTGTGTGTGTGTGTGTGTGTGTGTGAGACAGAGAGAGAGAGAGAGCTGAAGTCCTAATTAGAAGGTGAAATCTCTACCCTGTAATCTTTTTCACTCAGGAGAGCTGAGCTAGGATTTATATGTGTGTGTGTGAGGGGATTTGGAAATAAGGTAGACACCTGAAGAATACACACACACACACACTTGGAAGGTGGAGCAAAATAGAAGAGCTGATACATCTACAGGTTGGAAAAGCAAGAAATATCACAACAGCTGATTTTGGTTTTAATACAAAAGTGAAATACATTTAGTATAATTTTGTTTAAATTGGGATATGTTTGATCTCGTTCAATATAGCAGAGCCAAAGAACCAAGGGAAACGAACCCTTCTTAAAGGAAAACTAAAGCGTCATGAAGACTCTAAAGGTAGCAGGGTGTGTGTGTGTGTGTGTGTGTGTGTGTGGTGCAGAAGAGAGAAACATAGATTGCCATGACCCTTCAAGGCGGCGCCACACAAAAGCTTCACGGCCAGAGGACATCTTTGCAAGATGTTCTCTGGAGCATGGCTTGATTCACTATCTCTCACACACACACACACACAGACACACACAGACACACATGGAATACAGCGAGAGCAGCATGTTTACAAAAAAGAACAACTTAGAAATGTGTTGAATAGATGTGAAAGCCAGGAGTGCAGAAGTAGGACAACACGTCAGAGAAGCAGGGATCCATTGTGTGTTTTCTTTGCTTTTCACTAAGTCAACTTCAGTTCATAATCCTGTCCTGGCTGTCAGTACAGAGAAGTGTACAGAAGTTACGACTATGAAACACTAACAGGCGTGAAGACACACAGTTTCCTCCTCGTGTCATCACACAGAGGATGTATAAGTCTCCAACCACATGCAGTGTGCGATGTGAAAGCAGGGAGCAGATCGATTGCAGCAGCCTTGTAGCGAGCACGTGCTTGGGGAGTTATAAAATAACTGCTTTAGCTGGAGAGGTTGATTGAAGCCGGAGAGGAAGAGGAGGAGGAGGAGGAGGAGAGCTTTATGACCTTGTAAATCAAAGGGAATTTGTAAACCCTGGCTCGGAGAGAAAACAGAATAGTCGGGAGTGTGAGAAGGAACGCTCACAGGTTCAGACACACAACCTACGAGAGCCTCAGGGTGGGAATAAAGGCCGAAAAAGGTACACAGCTATTGATCTCCGTTTATGACTTACAACAAGACAGTACTTGCCAGTTAATAATGAATACTGCAGCAAGGAAAGCTTCATGTGAGGAATAACTCTCCTGAGTGTACTGCAGTCACATCAAGAAGTGCTTTTGCCTCATCAGGATGCAGAAAGGTGCGCTTGGTGAGACTTAACTCCACCCTAAAAACTGCCTCCATTGGCAAACATATCACACACACACACACACACACACACACACACACACACACACACACACACACACACACACACACACACACACACACACACACACACACACACACACACACACACACACCACACACACACACACACACACACACACACACACACACACACACACACACACACACACACACACACACACACACACACACACACACACACACACACACACACACACACACACACACACACACACACACACACACACACACACACACACACACACACACACACACACACACACACACACACACACACACACACACACACACACACACACACACACACACACACACACACACACACACACACACACACAACACACACACACACACACACACACACACACACACACAGTTGAGTCAGTCAGCGGCACTTTAGCAGTAATAACAGCCATCAGGCTCTTCTCATTGTTCACTGTTGTACTTGGAGTTATTATTAATCTCTCAGTGTGTCATTGTTATGAGTTACACAGTGCATTCAAGTTTATAGAGGTTTATTTAGCGCAGTGTATTTATAACTCTGCAAATAGAAATGCTAATGGAATCTCACAATGCTCAGAATCACGCACATCTTGTTCAGGACAAGATATTGGCATTATCAGAGAAATTGTGATGTAATTCCCGTGTGGTTCTCACATGTTTTTTCACGCTAGGAAAATATTGCACATTTTTAAGTAAATCCATCAATCTGGTGCAATTTAATTAAAGCCAAATCTACAAGCTTCCTCCACCCCAACCTTTTCCAAATATGCCTAAAGCCCGTCATGGAGGAAATAAACCTGGCGAGGGGGGAAAGGGGTAAGCGCTTGAACACGTTAATCAAGAGCAAAATTGGGAAAAAGGGAACGTTTTATCCCAAAATTGGCTGTATCATCCGGCTCTAACTCCGCGCCTCACACATGAATGTATGACAGATGTAGTTGTAAATAAACAGCTTCTTGGAGGCACTGTAAAACCCATTAGACACTTTGACAGATACTTAGACATCACCAGGGGAACATGGGCAGTAAATAGTATCCAGAAGTGCTTTGAGTGCAGTCAGGAGATGTTATTTACCTCAGTGCCCTCCCCACGCCCCATTAGACATAACAGTGTGTAACCTATTGCAGTTTGGTGGAGGGCCAGAGCGTGTTTTTGACTCAAGACAGTACAGGAGCCGAGCATGTGATAAAATTGTAAGCAAGAGAAAAAAAAAAAAAAACACTAATCCCACTGTCCTGCAGCGATGGGAACACCTGCACCGTCACATGCTTGATTGGGTGTAATTAAAAGCTTTGCACCTTGTATACAGGGGATACTAGCACCGGGGGGAGCATCTTAACACTATTTCCATACGTTCAAAACTACTACTTAGTGATGCAGGCAGTGAACAGGTGCCACAGGGAGGGGTCCGTATTATTTAAAGACTAATCATCACAACATTACGGGCTGTCCCCGTTCCAGACTGA